AGGCGTATACATTGTCTTGGGAATGAATTGGCTGCGGCCTAATGAGGTGATATTAAATTTCCAAGATAACACGCTTTCATTCACAAAGAATGGGACGGCGTTTCAATGGCAAGTCCCAAAGCGCCATGCACTGGACGACAAACCTCAAAGCTTGACTCTTGATGTGCACTTTGCATCGGCTCTCCAATTCAAAGAGCATATCAAGGGAGCTGATACACTTTTTGTTGTACAGCTAGACCCTGAACCAACCACTTCACAGATTATTGAGGATTTTTCGCCTCAAATGAAGGCGTTGGCAGAGGAATATTCTGAGGTTTTCGAGCCAGTTCTGGACGGGTTACCTCCCGACCGTGCAGTCGGCCACACCATCCCGGTGGAACCAGGAAAGGCACCACCATTCAGACCTCTGTATCGCCTCAGTCCAGCTGAGTACGAGGAGGCTAAGCAAAAAAATGAGGAATACCTCAGGAAGGGATGGATCGAACCCAGCACGTCCCCATATGGAGCACCTATCTTGTTTGTTCACAAGAAGGGAGGTGGACTACGCATGTGCGTCGATTATCGAGCTCTGAATAAAATTACGATAAAAATATATATCCACTTCCGCGGATAGAAGAATTCAGGGTGCGCAATGGTTTAGTGCATTGGATTTGGCGCAAGGTTATCACCAATTGCGTATAACAGAGGATGATGTTCCAAAGACGGCTTTCCGTTCGCCGTTCGGCCATTTTCAGTGGCGTGTGTTAAGTTTTGGCTTGACCAACGCTCGGGCCTCTTTCCAGAGGGCGATGAACGATATGTTTCGTGATGCGATTGGCCAGTTCGTCTTGGTGTACCTCGATGATATCGTGGTATACTCAAAATCCGAAGACGAGCATACGGAACATCTGAAATGGGTCCTCGACAAATTACGCGAGCATAAATACTACGCGCGTTTGTGGAAATGCCATTTTTACAAACGTGAGCTGGAGTATTTGGGGCACGTGGTGGGGCATAACGGGTTGAAAGTGGACCCCAAGAAGGTAGCAGCTGTCCAGGAGTGGCCCGTCCCACGCGACGTTGGCCAAGTTCGACCATTCTTGGGCCTGGCGAATTATTTTCGTCGCTTCTTGGAAAATTATTCCACGATAGTTGCTCCCCTCACGGCATTGACCCGGAAAGGGTGTGCATGGGAGTGGACCCCACAGTGCCAAAAGGCCTTCGAAGAGGTCAAGCATAAATGAACTAACGCACCAGTTTTGGTGTTGCCAAACCCACAGAAACCATATGAGGTGGTTACGGACGCCTCAACGGTGGGACTTGGTGCAATACTCTTGCAAGAAGGACGCCCTGTGGCATTTGAGAGAAGAAAAATCTCCCCGGCAGAGCAACGCTACACGACTACCGAACAAGAGTTGTTGGCTGTCGTGCATGCGCTAAGAACATGGCGATGTTATTTGGAAGGGGTAGAGTTCGTGGTCACCACTGACCACTGTCCGAACACATATTTTTCTACCCAGGCTACCCTCACTCGCCGTCAGGCCCGTTGGGCTGAACTTCTCAGCGGGTTCAGTTTCGACATTCGTTATCGTGCAGGTTCCACGAACCTGGCTGACCCCCTCAGCAGACAGCCGATAGGGGCAGCAACCGGGCTTGACGATACCGAACATGCGGTTGTTTTTGCTGCCTGTTTTGGCATACTAGCTGCGGCGAAAGTGAGCAAGATCGCGTTCAGTGGTTTTCTGAAACGAATTCGTACAGGATATCATATCGATTCCTGGTTCCATAACCCACAAAACACCAAACATTTGACATGGGAACACGATCTTTGGTGGCGAACAAAAGAGATTGCGGTACCTCATGTAGGCAATCTGCGGAACGATATTTTGGAAGAGGTGCATGCCACTAAATATGGGGGACACTTGGGCATGAATAAGACCCGGTGGGCCCTACGTGATGTGTATTGGTGGCCAGGAGTCGGTAGTGATGTCCAACAGTTTGTGGCACGTTGTGACACGTGCGCACGTAACAAACCAGACACACAGAAGCCTGGTGGTTTGCTTCAACCACTTGAAATTCCGAGTGAACCTTGGGAAAGTGTTTCACAGGATTTCATCACCGACCTCCCAAAAACCCGCGATGGGTATACGGCGATACTCGTGTTTGTAGATCGCCTTACAAAAATGGTGCACTTCGTACCCACGACAACAGACGTGTCAGCAGAGGATACTGCTCGGTTGTTCGTGACACATGTGTTGCGTCTACACGGATTGCCACGTGTATTAGTGTCTGATCGCGACCCGTGCTTCACGAGCCGATTCTGGCGTGAATTAACCGAGACACTAGGAATGAAGCTTAAGATGTCGTCAGCGTTCCACCTCCAAACAGATGGGCAAACGGAACGGACTAACCGTACTCTCGAGCAAATGCTTCGTTCTTTCATAAGCCCAATACATGACAATTGGGATGAGTTGTTACCCATGGTCGAGTTTGCGGTTAACAACTCGGTGCATGACAGCACACATGAAAATCCATTTATCCTGAACTGTGGTCGGCATCCCACAACACCTGCTACGCGTGGGATTGGCGGTTTAAAATTACATGCCGCAAAGGATTTTGTGGGCAAGCAACGAGAAGCCCTAAAGTCGGCACGTCGTTGGCTTCAATTAGCCCAACAACGGCAAAAATCATATGCCGATATGAAACGCCGGGAAGTCTCATTCTCCGTTGGAGACAAAGTTTTGTTAAGCACGAAGAATATTCGGCTTAAGATCCCTGGTGCGAGAAAGTTGTTCCCTTGCTGGATTGGGCCCTTCGAGGTGGTTCAACGAGTTGGTGTGGTAGCTTACAAGCTCAAGCTACCTGATACCCTTCAGATTCACAATGTCTTCCATGTGTCTCTGTTAAGCAAGTACATTGCAGAAGGCAAGTACTTACCACCACCAACAATCGTCCTAGGGGAGGAACTGTACTATGAAGTCGAACGAGTGCTTTTGCATCGTGATCGACAACACGGCCGCAAGACCGTACGAGAGTTCCTCATCAAGTGGAAAGGCTATGGGCCTGAACACAACTCTTGGGAGCCAGAAGAACATTTGACTGATACTGCGGTTCAGTCTTACATGGAAGGCCTGGCTCAGCGGGCACTCCCACAACCAGCGGATGTGTTGACCCTGGTCGTAATGTGGTTCGTCGTGCTCGTAGCACTCGTCCTAAGAAGCACCCCACGGCAACGAGGACGTTGCCAGCTGGAGGGGGAGGAGTGTAACATATTGACCCACCCACCTGGTCTCGATACGTCGAACCAGCTGTGAGGGGGGAAACAAGGGGAGAAACATGATTGGTTGGAGTTTGATTGGAAGCGAGGAATTTGGGATTGACTTGATTGGAAAACTAGCCAATCAGAACTATGCTATACAATCGTGACATAACTTACGCGATAGGTTTGAAAACAACCCACGTAAGTTCAAACATCCCCCTTGTCCAACCAATCAGAACATACTCACACAAAGTGAGTCGACGGAACTTCCGCCGCTGGTTGGAAATATAACCAATCAGAAACAGCCAACCTAAATCCAACTCGACTCTTCCTTGAAATTACATCCAATGCAACAACTCAGGTTTGTGATAAGTGTGCATTGTTATCCTTGTTGGTGCAACCCTACGGTTTGCATTCGGCTTGTTGTCCGTGTGCGTGCATGCGTGTGTGCATGGAATGGTATGAGGGCATGAAATAATATATATTTCATGCTTACAATAGTGTGTGAATGATGAGGCATGATTTTGAATGTGTGTGTCGAGTCAATAGCGAGTTATCGATAGTCGCGTGTCACGTCGTCGTTTGCGTGTCGTGTGCGGTTTTCTATTTTGTCGTGTGTGGAACGTTCGGCGTGTCGCAGGTGTGCGCAGCAAACTTCCAAGAACTCAAGGAAGAATTTACCTTGAAGAACCAGAGCCTTGGTTTCAAGAATCAAGTGATTTCGAAGCTCTCCAAAAGGGTAAACTTTAAGATAGTGAGAATAGTTGCATTACTTTGTGTAGTGTAACATTTCTCTTGGTGTAGGCCCTTGTGGAGGGTAGTTTCGAGACCCTTCGTGGTTGGGGACAGTGTGGCACTGTTCCACATCACTGTACCTCGGCTCTTGGGGTTTGTAGGAGCTGGGAGTCATTCCCAACTCGTAACTCTTCCTATCTTGTGTTCTAAGACTATAGTGGCTGCCATAGTACCGTTCGTTCAAACCAACGCTGTGTCGTTAATCCTTTATCAAATCGTGCAATCTAAATTGCTTATTGTAGGCGACGTTAAGACGCTACAGATCCAATTTGAATCAGGTCATTTGAAGCTGTGACCAGAACGCTATCAACGTTTGAATCCGCTCTGCAGAAATCCGTCTGTGCACTCTATCTTTCGTTTTAGGCACATTCAAGCCTATTGTGACTATAACAATCCTTGCTGTCTATTGTCTAATTGGTTGGGAACTCCAACCATTGCCATATGGGCAAAGACCCATGGTGGTGCACCCTTCCTTGCCATGGGGAAGGTGGCTTAAAGCCCGAGGTCAGCATGGTATTTTTTCAAAGTTTTTGAACATTAAAGCGTGTGAGCGAAGGGTAGCGAGAAACCATTTCGGCACAGTTGCTGAGGCGAAAAAAATCAGTCCAGACGACCTGGCGCGCCTGTTCGCCACACTAGAAATTCGTAAGCCACCCAACCTTGCGACAAACCAAACCACCTAGCCCGTCACACCAAATGCCAAAGCCATCCCCGCTAGCTAATCATGTGTTAGATAGAGCAATAACCTACGATTACGATAAGTATTTTGCTCCCCGCTCGTCGTCCCGAGAGCGCATCGCCGCAGGAAATACGAAGGGCTTAGGACTTCACAAGCGCATGTACTCCATTGTGGGAGCGCACCTCTCAGGGCCTCAGATAGTCGCGCCTCCCCTCTCTTGATCGAGCTTCTCCTCCCCGTGTCGCGCCTCCCCTCGTCGCGCCTCCCCTCCCACCGTCGCGTCATCCGATGTCACTCCACCCGTCCTTTCGACGCGCATCCCCTCGTGCCTCGCTTCCCGTCGTCGCGCCGCGCCTCGCCGGTGCTTCCTGTCTCATCGTGGCGCTTCCCCTCCCCGCGTCACGCCTCCGCTCCTTACGTCGCCTCCCCGCGTCACGCCTCCGCTCCTTACGTCGCCTCCCCGCGTCGCGCCTCCCCTCCCCTCAACGCGCCAGCACCCGCGTCGCGCTGCCCCTCGTCGCGCCTCATTCCCCCCCTCCGCTTCTCCTTATCCCCCCCTCCGCATTAGTTCATTCCCCCCTCCGTTTCACCTCATTCCCCCCTCCGTTTCTCCTCATTCCCCCCTCCGTTTCTCCTCATTCCCCCCTCCGTTTCACCTCATTCCCCCCTCCGTTTCTCCTCATTCCCCCCTCCGTTTCTCCTCATTCCCCCCTCCTCTTCTCCTCATTCCCCCCTCCGTTTCTCCTCATTCCCCCCTCCGTTTCTCCTCATTCCCCCCTCCGCTTCTCCTCATTCCCCCCTCCGTTCCTCCTCATTTCCCCCTCCTCTTCTCCTTATTTCCCCCTCCACGTCTCATCATTTCCCCCTCACCCTCACCCTGTGCCCGCTGCCCCTCACCCTCACCCTGTGCCCACTGCCCCTCTTCTGTCCCCTCGGCCTCTCCATGCCTCTCCAAGCCTCTCCAAGCCTCCCCATGCCTCTCCAAGCCTCTCCATGCCTCACCGTGCCTCTCCAAGCCTCTCCATGCCTCTCCATGCCTCTCCAAGCCTCCCCATGCCTCCCCATGCCTCTCCATGCCTCCCCATGCCTCCCCATGCCTCCCCATGCCTCCCCATGCCTCCCCATGCCTTCCGAAACCCTCCCCATGCCTCCCCATGCCTCCCCATGCCTCTCCATGCCTCCCCATGCCTCCCCATGCCTCCCCATGCCTCCCCATGCCTTCCCATGCCTCCCCATGCCTTCCGAAACCCTCCCCATGCCTCTCCATGCCTCTCCATGCCTCTCCATGCCTCTCCATGCCTCCCCATGCCCCTCCATGCCTCTCCAAGCCTCCCCATGCCTCTCCGTGCCTCTCCAAGCCTCTCCATGCCTCTCCGTGCCTCTCCAAGCCTCCCCATGCCTCCCCATGCCTCTCCATGCCTCCCCATGCCTCCCCATGTCTCCCCATGCCTTCCGAAACCCTCCCCATGCCTCCCCACCGCCTGCACCGCCTGCATCCTGTCTTGCCCCCATCAGGTGGTGGACGAGGCGGACCGGCTGCTGCGCCAGCTCTACCATGACTAGCTGCCGCTCACCCTCGCCGCCCCTCCCCGCTGCCCCTTCCGATGCCACTGCTGCTACGTCAGCAGTCGCCGGCATGCATGCTGACGTGGCAGTGAGCGTGCCGGTTTTGTGCAGCGTCATGCATGCACATGGCGGTGGCAGCGTGAGCGGTGTTCTCCCCACTCCATTCATCCACGGCTTGCGATCTCTGTGGGCCCTCAGTGGTCACCTCATGCTGCTGTGCGTTGCTGCTATGTGTTGCTGCCATGCTGGTGTTACCTCATCTGAACAGAACACCACCTCTCGGCCTCCCCGTTCCCTTCGTCACGGTCTGTGATCCCTGTGAGCCCTCAGCCGTCACCGGATGCTATGCGCTACCACGTGCCCGTGCCTTGTGGCTGCTGTGTGCATCTGACCTGCAGTCACCTGACTGACGCTGCTATGAGCCGTTGCCTTGTGCTCGTGTTACATCATCTGACCTGCACGGTTCCTCTCGCCCTCTCATGCTCTCTCCCTCCATTTATCCATGGCATGTCATCCCTGTGAGCCCTCAACTGCTGCCCTTATGTGCTGCATGTTGTACAGCTACCTTGTGCTGGTGTTTGCATCCAACCCATGCACATGCAGTTCCGCTATCGCTCACTCTGGTACCCACACACTGGACATGTGATGGGATAGATGTCATGGGGTTGAATGGAGTGTGCATGGCCTCTCTCTCCACCTCCACCGTCCCTTGCCCCTTCCAACCCCCCTCTCCCTCTCCCCAGGTGTGTCCGCGTGCGAGCGACAAACTGCTGCTGCTGGCAGCGCAGCTCAAGCAGCTCACTGGGGGCGGCGGATGGGAAGAGAGATGCTGCTGCCAGCACCGCTGCTGCTGCTGCTGCCGCTGCTGTGCGTCTCCAGCACCGCCTCTTCCTGCTGCTCTCTGCTTTCCCCCTCGCCTTGCTGCCCTTCGCCTTTTCTGAGTTCTCCTCCCGCCAGTCGCAGCGCCAGCGCAGGTGAGGAGGAGAGGCGGACAGGTGAGGAGGAGAGGCGGACAGGTGAGGAGGAGAGGCGGACAGGTGAGGAGGAGAGGCGGACAGGTGAGGAGGAGAGGCGGACAGGTGAGGAGGAGAGGCGGACAGGTGAGGAGGAGAGGCGGACAGGTGAGGAGGAGAGGCGGACAGGTGAGGAGGAGAGGCGGACAGGTGAGGAGGAGAGGCGGACAGGTGAGGAGGAGAGGCGGACAGGTGAGGAGGAGAGGCGGACAGGTGAGGAGGAGAGGCGGACAGGTGAGGAGGAGAGGCGGACAGGTGAGGAGGAGAGGCGGACAGGTGAGGAGGAGAGGCGGACAGGTGAGGAGGAGAGGCGGACAGGTGAGGAGGAGAGGCGGACAGGTGAGGAGGAGAGGCGGACAGGTGAGGAGGAGAGGCGGACAGGTGAGGAGGAGAGGCGGACAGGTGAGGAGGAGAGGCGGACAGGTGAGGAGGAGAGGCGGACAGGTGAGGAGGAGAGGCGGACAGGTGAGGAGGAGAGGCGGACAGGTGAGGAGGAGAGGCGGACAGGTGAGGAGGAGAGGCGGACAGGTGAGGAGGAGAGGCGGACAGGTGAGGAGGAGAGGCGAACAGGTGAGGAGGAGAGGCGGACAGGTGAGGAGGAGAGGCGGACAGGTGAGGAGGAGAGGCGGACAGGTGAGGAGGAGAGGCGGACAGGTGGAGAGAGGACACATGGGCAGGGAGAGGAGGGACACATGGAGAGAGATACTATGGGGGGAAGGGAGGGCGAGCGATTGAGGGAAGCAGGGCCGAGAGTGGGGGGAAGCAGACTGAAGCAGTGCGTCGTGGGCTGGTACTGCTCCGTGAGTGGCGTGGCGGTGCGGCTAAAGGGGTTCGCCTCGGGGCGGATCCAATCGTAGATCTGCTTTCCAACAGCTGGGCGGGTGGTCGACGTGTAGCGCTCTCACTTGCGACGGGCATTTCCCCAAGGGGATGGGGGGAAGCAGTGAAGGGGATGGGGGGAAGCAGTGAAGGGGATGGGGGGAAGCAGTGAAGGGGATGGGGGGAAGCAGTGAAGGGGATGGGGGGAAGCAGTGAAGGGGATGGGGGGAAGCAGTGAAGGGGATGGGGGGAAGCAGGGAAGGGGATGGGGGGAAGCAGGGAAGGGGATGGGGGGAAGCAGGGAAGGGGATGGGGGGAAGCAGGGAAGGGGATGGGGGGAAGCAGTGAAGGGGATGGGGGGAAGCAGGGAAGGGGATGGGGGGAAGCAGGGAAGGGGATGGGGGGATGCAGGGAAGGGGATGGGGGGAAGCAGGGAAGGGGATGGGGGGAAGGGAGGGCGACGCTTGGATGGGAGGGCGACGGGCGGAAGGGAGGGCGACGGGCGGATGGGAGGGCGACGGGCGGAAGGGAGGGCGACGGGCGGATGGGAGGGCGACGCGCGGATGGGAGAGCGACGGGCGGATGGGAGGGCGACGCGCAGAAGGGAGGGCGACGGGCGGAAGTGAGGGCGACGGGCGGAAGTGAGGGCGGCGTGCGGAAGGGAAGGCGACGGGCGAAAGGGAGGGCGACGCGCGGATGGGAGATACAACGCGCGGATGGGAGAACGACGTGCGCCAGGGAGGGCGACGGGCAAAAGGGTGGGCGACCAGCGGATGGAAGGCGACGGGCGGAAGGGAGGGCGGCGAATGGAAGGGAGAGACGAGCGGAAGCGTGTGCGACGAAAGGAAACGTGAGTGATGTAAGGAAGCATGGGCGACGTAGGGAAGCGTGGGCGACGTAAGGAAGCCAGAGTGACGTAAGGAAGCAACTACCGGGAGCGAAGGAACCGAAGGCGTCGCGGGCAGGCGAAGGCGACGGGGGCAACCTAAGTGACCAGCGAGCATGTTTTACAAAGCAATTCTATCTCGTCATGTGATAAATCACTGGCAGAAAAAGAGATAGGGAGTGAATAGCGGGTGAATAGCGGGTGAACTACGTATAGTATGACGTGCATTTAGTACCAGATGGTTTTCAAGTTCACTTCAAGTGAACAGTGCTGCCTTGCCAGCTGAACCTCCGCTCGGTAAGACTTTGAGTGTCGCTGGCCAATCACGGATCACTATCGTGAGAGAATGCTAGACTTCAGGTGGTAACTTGGTTTTTGGCGAATTCATATTCAAGAATCTTGAATATGAAAACAGCCATGTGGTACTCGGGCTTTAACCCCAATGGGGTCTAGGGAGGGGTCTAAGCCAAGCTAGCTCATTCTTCACTTCCTATCCCCAACTAATCAATTGGGAAATAGGATTCTTCTTTCATCAACTCACCTTCCAGAGTTTGTTACTGCATCTCCTAGTACTCTTCAGACTTGGTCAATTCCAGGAGCTGCTATTCTCTGTTTTGTACTGGAACCTATCTATGAATGGGTAAATGCCCTTTTAATTAGCATATACGTTACACTAATTGCCGAAGCCACGTCAAGCAAGCTGTTCGCCCCATCGATGCGCGACACGTTCTGCGCGGGGGACCATCGTAACAGCTCATAGGCCCGTGATGCAGACGGCATGCGCGCGTTTCTAGAATTCAGGAAGCCCTCCGGCAATGAATAACTACGGCATTGAAGTGAAGTGGGCAGCATGCACGGGTCAACCAGCCTCAATCTACTACCCTCCATCGCACCATTCGATAATCCAACCATCACCACGCGACTCCACGTCACCATGATTTTTTTCTCTCACCCGCACCCCGCCTCACATGCTAACAATCCATCCGTCGCCATCATCCGTCGAGCGCCATGGCCAAACCCGGCCGGGGCTGCTTCGCGGCGCCGCCATCGCGGCATTGGCGTCGCGCCGATGTCCTTCCGACAGCCCAATCTGGAGATCTCTCTCCTCCCCCCCACCCCCACCCCGCCCTCCCACCCTCCCCCACTCTTCCTCCGCGCTCTCTTTCCCCTTTCCATGGGTCCACTCTCCCACTTCTCGGGGCGGGCGGGAGTCTTCGCCGGGGTTCTCCCCTTAGTGGCCAATCTGGAGTCTCCGCAACCCCGGATCCCTCGCCCGACTGCGGTCAGTGAGAGGGGGAGACAATCAAACGGACAGACAGACAGGCGGGGGAACAGACTCTCGCGCAGTCCGTGAGAGAAGCAGATTCGGGCACCTATCATAACAGCCGGTCGTCGTTGCCGTCATCTCCTGCTCTTGCTTTCTGCTCTTCGCCGCAGCAGACTCCGTTCTGCGCCGTCGCGTTTTTATTCTTACGACACAGCCAGTGACACTCTAGTTGCCCTACGCTCACGAGTCTAGTTTTCCATCCATGGAGCGTGGGAAAGGCGCTAGGGAGGAGCTCGGCCCCACATCTGAAACCCGCCTCCCCACGGGCTTCCCCCGCCACGGAGAAATCGCGGAGGCGCCTCCCCCCGCGCCCTTCGCCAGCGGCGCGCGCCCTCCGCCGCACCCCTCCGCGGAGGCTCCGCGCGCGGGCGCTGGCGGAGGCGGAGGCGGAGGCGGAGGCGGAGGCCCCCAGAGGCAGCTCACGCCCCCGCTAGGCACGGCTCCGCGGGAGAGGCAGCCGTCCCCGCCCATCCCCGGGCCCCACCTGCAGCCCCCCGGGCTGGGGCAGCCCGTGCACCCCACTCCGCCCAAGGAGCGCCAGGCGCAGCCCCCGCCCCCCCAGCCCCAGCAACCCCAGCAGCCGCAGATGCACCCTCAGGGGCAGCCCCAGCAGTACCAGCCGCCCCAGCACCCCCAACAGCCGCAGCCGCAGCTGCAGCCGCTGCCTCCCCACCTGGCGGCAGTGCGTACGACCCACCCCATCCACCTCCCCCTTTCCGCAGAGGAGCAGCAGCGGCAGAGGGCGTGGGGCTACGAGGCTGGGGAAGGCGGCACTTCTGCTGCTGCTGCTGCTGCTGCTGGTGCGGGGCCTGCAGAGGGAGCGGTGACGGTGTCGATATCGCGGGCGGGCATGATGGTGAAGCCCGACAGTGTGTTCCGCCTGCGCGTGGGCGTGCGGCCCCTCTCAGGCGAGCTGGACCACGAGGCCCTGAGCCGCCTGCACTCCTCCAACCAGTGCTACGGGCTGGGTAAGTCGGGATGCGAGTGCTGGTGGTGCTGGTGGTGCTGGTGGTGCTGGTGGTGGTGGTATGGGCGGGCATGATGGTGAAGCCCGACAGTGTGTTCCGCCTGCGCGTGGGCGTGGGCCCGCTCTCAGGCGAGTTCGACCACGAGGCGCTCAGTCGACTCCACTCCTCCAACCAGTGCTACGGGCTCGGTGAGGCGAGGAGCTGAGTGGTGAGGAAAGCAGCAAGTGCTGTGACGTGGGTGAGGCGAGACGTGAGTGCTTGGCACTATGGCAGGACGAAGCGATTGCTGTGTTGAGGATGGTGAGCCGAGGGGCGAGTGGTTGGTGGTGAATAGAGGTAGGACCAGGACCATAATCTGACCTGCTTGTTTCAGAGTCCTCCTCTCAATCCCATCTCGCCCATCCCTCCCGTCCGATCCCATCCGATCCCATCCATCCCCATCCCTCGCATCCCTTTGATCCATCCCATCCCCTCATCCCTCCCACACACCTCATCCATCCCCGTCTTCAATTCTCATCCCTCCCACCCCACCTATGGGCAGCTGTGCTGCTGGCGGGGCTGGCCGTAATTGCCCTCTCCGTGGTGCCTCAAGTCCCTCTGCAGCCCTTACTAGGTGCGTCTGTCCGCCTAATCGGTGGTAGCTAGGTGCGTCTCTGCAGCCCCTGCTAGGTGCGTCTCTGCGTCCGTCCTCCTAATTGGTGGTAACTAGGTGCGTTACTGCAGCTCCGCCCGTTTTCTTTTCCCCTCCTATGTGCCTTCTGTTTCCAACTCTTATCACTGGATAATGGGGTGCTCCGTCTTGTGTTTGTGTCACCCACCCACATGAGACAATGGACATAGGCATTCCCCCACTGCCATTACTCCCCCCAGCACACACCACGACTAGTATAGCACCACACGACCCACTGCATGTGATTTTGATGTTCCAAGAACTGCGCCCTCCTTAGGCGAGAAACGATGCACACCAATGCACAGCGATGCGCACTAATGCACAGGATCACTGATGTGTCTGTCGACTTCCTCTCGTCTCTCTCCCACCCCCTTCTCTGCCCTCTACCAGCCGGGCTGCTCATGGCCATGGGGCTGGTAACCGGGTTACACGCGCTAGTGCTCTTCACAGCGCCAGGAGCCATCGCCCTTGTGCTGCTAGCAGCCGTGCATGCAGCCTTCGGCGCCTGGCTCCTCCAAGCCCCCCTCGGACCACTTCCTCCTCATCCTCTCCCTCCCCCCCTCTGGTTCATAGCCCAGGCAGGCGCTATCCAAGCTCATCCTTTTATTGTACCCCCTTTGAGGCGCCTCAAAAGTCCTCCCAGGCGCACTTTCAGCTGATTCTCCTCTTCCCCCCTCACCTGCTGCCCCTGCCCCCTTCCCTGCCCTCTACCAGCCGGGCTGCTCATGGCCATGGGGCTGGTAACCGGGTTACACGCGCTAGTGCTCTTCACAGCACCAGGAGCCATCGCCCTTGTCCTGCTAGCAGCCGTGCATGCAGCCTTCGGCGCCTGGCTCCTCCAAGCCCCCTCGGACCACTTCCTCCTCATCCTCTCCCTCTGGCTCGCCGCCCAGGCTCTCTCCAAGCTCGTCCTCGCCGCCCTTTTGAGCCTCCTTTCGTCTTATGTGGCGCTCGTGGTGACGGCGGTGGTGGGGATTGGGCTGGCTGGGTTGGCGTATTTTGGATTTGATGCCAGCACACCAGTGTGGGCCCAGGGACTGCTCGTGGGGGGTTACCTCGTGCTGTACGGCGTTTCCTTCCTGCTCATCGCATGCATGGCATATGCTGGTGAGTTGTAGGGCGGCATGGTATGTGCGGTAATGGGTGTCGGTTTGGGTACAGGGAGGGACTGCTGGTGGGGGGGTATCTTTTGCTCTATGGGGTGGCCTTCCTGCTCATCGCATGCATGGCATATGCTGGTGAGTTGTGTGGACATGGTATGTGCGGTCATGGGTGCTAGTTTGCGTATAAAAGGTGTTGGTGGGGGGCTATCTCGTGCTGTACGGTGCGGCCTTCCTGCTCATCGCATGCATGGCATGTGTTGGTGAGTTGTGAGCCAACTAGGGAGCTTCCCTAGAGTTGATTTCGCCAGGTCTGCTGGTGGGGTTGCTGCTGGGGCTGCGTGGATTTTACTTCCTGTGAAGCTTCCCCTTTGTCCATCCACCAACTATCCTTATTTATCTCCTAAACCCTGCACCTCTCTCTCTCAGGGCGGCGTTTGCTGGAGGAGGACGAGGAGGAGCGTCAGCCACTGCACCTGGTGGTCGACCCCTTCCACTGAGGACTTAAAGTCCGAGGGTACACCCGGTGGCTATTGAGTTGACTTGGAGTCACCTCTTCCCCATGTGCCACTCCCCACCGCACTGCACCCCTCTCTCAGGTCGGCGTCTGCTGGAGGAGGATGAGAAGGAGCGTCAGCCACTGCACCTGGTTGTCGACCCATACCATAGGGTACACCCAGTGATTATTGAGCTGACTCTTAAGTCGCCTCTTTCCAACGTGCCACTCCCCACCGCACTGCACACCTGTCTCTCTCAGGTCGGCCTCTGCTGGAGGAGGACGAGGAGGAGCGTCAGCCACTGCACCTGGTGGTCGACCCCTTCCACTTGAGAACTTACGGTAAAGCCCAAAGTCACACCCAGTGATGATTGAGCTGACCTTAAAGCCACCTGTTCCCAACGTGCCACTCCCCACCGCACTGCACCTCTCTATCAGGTCGGCGCCTGCTGGAGGAGGACGAGGAGGAGCGTCAGCCCCTGCACCTGGTGGTCGACCCGTTCCACTGAGGAGTTGACACCCAAACACACCTGTCCTTCCAACGCCCCACTCTTCACCGCACCACACCGCACTGCATCCCGCTGTCAGGTCGACGCCTGCTGGAGGAGGACGAGGAGGAGCGTCAGCCCCTGCACCTGGTGGTCGACCCGTTCCACTGAGGGCACCCGTATCACTGCCCCACTGGTGCGCTCTGACAAACCTGAGTGCACGCGGTGATTATTGAGTGGACTTCAATGGCACCGCTTCCCCCCGCCCCACTCCCCTTCATACCGCACTGCACCCCTCTCTCAGGTCGGCGTCTGCTGGAGGAGGACGAGGAGGAGCGCCAGCCACTGCACCTGGTGGTCGACCCGTTCCACTGAGGAGTTGATTGAAGCCGATACAGGAAGTGAGCCCTAAACAGGGATGGCAATACAGGGATGGCAACGAAGAGTGATGGTTACAGGGAAGTTGAAGCAGTCAGGCCTTGCCACAGGTCCCTAGAAGATAGGTTTTAGGATTGCTGGCCTGGTTGGTTCCTAGTTTGCTGCTGGTCGCTGTGGTGGCTGGGGCCTGCTGTGAATGCAGCTTGCTATTTCCCCCTGGCTTTGTTTTCTACTTGCTAATACGGTACCATACGTACTGCATACAGTAACTTTGCACTTGAATTACCATGTACTGTAGAGCTTCTCCAATGTGCTATGCTGGAATGAAGATTCGGGATCTGCTTGACCAGGTTGTACCACAATCTATGCCTTCTCAAGGAGAACCGGCTTCTCCAAAGAAGTCCCGTGCGATACAATACACTCACACAGGAAAGTTTTGTGTACCACAGGGAACGTGCGTTGTGTTGGCTGAATGATAACGACTTGAAGTACGGCAACATTGTGTCACGACTCATGACGAACCCTTCCAATCAAATTGCCTTCATCCCAATCTAGACTCAACTCAATTGGTACCAGCTTGGACTCTATTACCGTATGTATTGGCAAGGTTATCTCTACTCACTAATTCGTTATGCAAGTCGATACTTCCGGCAACATGGGACGCATTGCATGCGCACACGCCAAGAGCTACGGTAACCCTAATGGCCCTCACCCAACGCAGAGCTACCACGGGTGGGATGCTCATCCAATCATTCAGTCATGATTGCTTGGATGGATCATGAATGGGCCCACCCACCCTACAGCACATGATGATAGGAGCTACCCTACTAGCCAAGTGCCACCTGTCAAGCAATGCAACAGCGTGTGTTGTGTGCCTGAGGAGGAATGCGCACATCTGCTCTATAAGGCATCCGGTAGCTCATGCATGCTCGAACTCTTCTTCATTGCCCTCCCTCCCACCGCGCCTCCCCCTCCCACTTCCCCACCAGCACCAGCATCCAAACTCATCCGCACACTCCCTCCCACCATGCCTCCTCCCCCTCGCAACGGTCCATGCAAGGGGCTTGAAGAGATGGGGGTAGCCGCAACCGAGTTGGCAAGAGACGCCCCTCTAGACCAGCTCCTCCCTTCAAGCTCTAACACGTCCCCGCGCCCTCCTATCGACCCTCCCACGCCCCCTACCCCCGTGCTCCTCCTCCCCCCTTTCACGCCGCCTCCCCATCCCACACCAGACGAAACCCCCCGTCCGGGAGTGCTCGCGGCACTGTAGCTGCCAGTTGGCTGCGCGACAGTGGTCGGCGACTCCGCAGCGCGTGACGTGGCGGGGCCGGTGCTGCTGGGGGCGCCACGTAGGACCGGCACGCGGGCGGCGAGGGTGGAGTGGATCCGGCCGTACCGCGCCCGCGTGGCGTTTGCTGACTTGGCGACGATGACGTGGACGATGGGGTCAGGAAGGAGGGGTGAGAGAACCGACCGGATCCGGTCAAGAGATAGTCCAGAGAGGGAGGATGGATCAGGAAGAACAGAAAGTGTGTCCGGTTCGAGAGACCCTGAGGTGGTCTTAGCTGCAAACGCAGCAGCACCACCGGTTGCATTGGCAGCAGTGGAAGAGTATTTAATGGCGAGTTGGAGGTGGTGGGTGGCACCACACTTGATGACAAGCGGCCCTTCGGCACTATTCAGCTGCACTGCCGTCCACTCCCTCACCCCCTCCTGCTCCGCCCTCCTCCGTACCTCCTCCTGCCTTGCCGCCACACTGCCTGCTGCCACTGCCCCTCCCCCTCCTGCTGCTGGCCCTACTCCTCCTGCTCCTGCTGCTGTGGCTGGCATACCGTCCCCCTCCCCTCCCACAGACAGGCCAGCAGCAGCACTCTCTCCTCCCCCTTCCTGTCCTACTCCCCCTCCCACTGCTCCGTCTGCTCCCTCTCCTGTACCTCGCCCCAGCCCATCCACCAGCCCTGTCACCTGACTCCACAGAGAGCTTCCCCCTGCTGCTGCTGCCCCCCCTGCTGCTGCTGCTTCCCCCCCTGCGCCTGCCCTCTCTTGCAGTGTCTGACCACCTTGGGACGGTGCGACGTGGGAGAGGGACGAGCGGGAGGGAGAGGAGGGGCGGCGCGACGGGGAAGACGGGCGGCGGGAGGGGGAACCAGTGGCACTGTGTCGCGAGGGTGAGGATGTGTGGTGTGCTGCAGCAGCAGCAGCAGCAGCAGCAGCAGCAGCAGCAGCAGCAGAAGAGGTGGAGTGCCGCGCAGGAGAGGAGGCGGCACCAGCATGGGAAGAAGGCAGGACGCCTGCCTGCTCGCCGTCGTGAAAGAGACGCCTGGAGAGACCACCACCCTCCTGCTGCTCTTGATTGCTGTTGTGCTGCTGCTGTTGGTGCTGGTGGTGGTGATGGTGGTGAGGATGGTGGGTGCTGGCATGGGATGGGTGCGTGTGGGGAGCTTGCTGTTGGTGCTGGTGGTGTTGGTGGTGGTCCGTGTGTTGGTGCGAGTGTGCAGAGCCTGGCGTGCCTGGGAGGGAATTTGCCGCGCTGACAGCACCACTGGTTTCCGAAACCGGCTGGAGTCAGACAGACAGACAGGGGACACGAGGGAGCAAGGGTTGGGAAGAGAGAAGGGGTCAGCGTAGGGAACGGAGTTTGAGGGGAAGGAGGGGTAGGAGAGACAGAAGCGAGAAGGCGAGAGAGTTTGATGCTGCAACACAAGAGGTGAACAAAGAAGGGAAGAGGTGGCATGAAGAGCAGCGCACCAAGCTGTGTGCTGAATTGCCCTGAACTGTAAATTCTACAGTCCAGCCAAGACTGAAATGATCTGCCCCAGCTGCAGCACTCACGGGGGAGAACTGCAAGGTATACGAACTGATCTGCTCGCCCCGCCACCACCGGCAGCTAATCCTGCTGCTGCCTTGACAAAACCATTCCAGTCAGCCCGAAACCCTGAACCCCCAACTGCGAGACTCACTGGGAAGAGCTGCAATGCGCTCACAATGCTCTGCCCTCCACAGTGCAGACCAGGAACCCTGAACCCCCACCCCCAGCACTCACCGGTACCCTGAACCACTTCACTCAGTCCCAAACCCTGAACCCCCACCCCCGGCATTCACCAGGAAGAACTGCAGGGCATACGCGATGATCTGCTCGCCCACCATCTTGGCCCTGCCAGCACAAACTGGGCAGCCCCTCTACCACTGCTGCCTCGCCAATGCCCCTTCAGTCAGCCGGGAACCCTAATTTCCCCAACTTCAGCGCTTACCAGGAAGAACGGCAGGGCATACGTGATGATCCACTCGCCCACCACCTTGCCAGCACCCAAGGGCAGCCCCTGCTGTTGCTCCTTCAACAAAGCCAGGAACCCTGAACCCCCGAACCCCCAACCCCGGCACTCACAGGGAAGAACTGCAGGGCATAGGCGATGATCTGCTCGCCCACCACCTTGGCAGCACCGGAAGGGCAGCCCCTGCTGCTGCTCCTTCAACGGACCCATTTCACTCAGCCAGGAACCCTGAACCCCCCGAAACCCCAACACCGGTACTCACGGGGAAGAACTGCAGGGCATAGGCGATGATCTGCTCGCCCACCATCTTGTCTGGCCCTGCCAGCACCGGCAGCTCCTCCCTCTGCTGCCTCGCCAGCCCCTCCCGCATGCCGTTCACCGCCTCGTCTGCCGGCATGCGCGACGCTGACAGCGCTTCCATGGCGTCCTGATGGCAGGGTAAGGGGTGGGGAGGGAGCAGCGGAGGGGCAGAGCAATTGCATTTGCTTCTTGAAAATTGTCACGAGTCAAGGTGGTGTGCTGTTAACCGCTTCGTCTGGCGGCATGCGCGAGGCTGAGAGCGCTTCCATGGCGTCCTGATTCTGGGGGGAGAAGGGGAAAGAGGGGGAGGGGGAGGGAGGGGGCAGCAGAGGGCAGAGCAGCGGGCGGAGAATTCTCAAGAGTCAAGCCGCTGTGCTGTGAGCAGCCTCATCTGGCAGCATGCATGCATGAAGCAGACAACGCTTCCATCAGGAGCTCTTTCACCCATCATTACTTTATCTCACCCATCGTTACTTTATCTCACCCATCGTTACTTTATCTCACCCATCGTTACTTTATCTCACCCATCGTTACTTTATCTCACCCATCGTTACTTTATCTCACCCATCGTTACTTTATCTCACCCATCGTTACTTTATCTCACCCATCGTTACTTTATCTCACCCATCGTTACTTTATCTCACCCATCGTTACTTTATCTCACCCATCGTTACTTTATCTCACCCATCGTTACTTTATCTCGCCCATCGTTACTTTATCTCGCCCATCGTTACTTTATCTCACCCATCGTTACTTTATCTCACCCATCGTTACTTTATCTCACCCATCGTTACTTTATCTCACCCATCGTTTCTTTGTCTCACCCATCCTTACTTTATCTCACCCATCGTTACTTTATCTCGCCCATCGTTACTTTGTCTCACCCATCGTTACTTTATCTCACCCATCGTTACTTTATCTTACCCACCTGGCATGCGCGGAAAATCTTCTCCAGGGCAGCAAGAGATCCGATTCTGCTCTCCTCCTTGGCGCCGCCTTCCGCCTCCCACCGCTTCTGCCCCTCCAGCAGCTCCTCCCGGTGCGCCCCCAGCGACGCGTCTGCCGCCACGTCCCTCAGCAGCTTGGCGCGCTTGTGCCTCACTGCCTCCAGGCCCAGACGCAGCTTGATCACATGCTCCATGTCGTCCGCCTCCTCCACTAGCAGGGACGACCCCACGTCCTGTGCACAGCGGGAAGAAGCAAAATCAAGGAGGGATCGATGCTTTGTAAAGGGGGAAGGAAAGCTTGTGCCTCACTGCCTCCAGGCCCAGGCGCAGCTTGATCACATGCTCCATGTCGTCCGCCTCCTCCACTAGTAACGAGGAGCCCACGTCCTGTGCAAGTCAAATCAAAGAACAGATTAGAACAACGGGGGAAGAAAAGCTTATGCGTCACCGCCTCGAGGCCCAGCCTCCAAAACCAAGACCTAGAGCACTAGGTACTCAAGGTACCTTGAGATTCATTTTGAGAATTCTCAAAATCAACCTCAAACATAGTGCACTAGGTACTCAAGGTACCTTGAGATTCCTCAGCTGAGATCGGTACTGTCTGAAGCTCCAGTCCGCCAGAACCTGCCCCGGGGCATTCTCGCTGTACCGCACGAACGTGCCCAGCCCGTCCCTCCCACTCACCTGCCAAGCCAAGACCTAGTGCACTCTATTGATGCACCTTGAGGTTGCCCGGCGCACCTTGAGGTTGCCCGGCGCACCTTGAGGTTGCCCGGCGCACCTTGAGGTTGCCCGGCGCACCTTCAGTTTGCCCGGCGCACCTTCAGGTTGCCCAGCTGCGACCAGTGTTGTCTGAAGCTCCAATCCGCCAGCACCTGTCCCTGCGCGTCCTCATCCCACTCACTGTACCGCATGAACATGCCCACCTCGTCCCACTCACCTCACATGTTCATACCTAGTGCACTCTACTCACGCACCTTGAGGTTCCCCAGCTGAGACCGGTACTGCCTGAAGCTCCAGTCAGCCAGCACCTGTCCCAGAGCGTCCTCACTGTACCGCATGAACGTGCCCAGCCCCTCCCGCCACCCCGCCACCACCGCCGCCGCCACCGCCACCACGTCCTCCTGCGCATCCCTGGGCGGCTCGCCCGCCGCCCAGAATCCAAACTGCGATCCAATCCACTGCAGCACGCGCTGCTCCAGGCTGGTGACGTCAGCGACGCGCGCGATGAGGTCAGCGGGGAGGGAGGAGGCGTAGAGGGGGGCGGTGGTGGTGGTGGGTTTGGCGGTGGCGAAGTGGGCAAAGACCAGAGCGAGCTCCTTGTGCCCCTTGGCGTGGTCTGCTGCCTCTTGCCGAATCTCCTTGATTCGTGCCTCTGACACCTGGTGTGGTGTGGCATGCAGGGTTGTGTGGTGTGGTGTGATTCAACAGAATGTGGTTCAGAGAGGTGTGCTTAAAAAGAGTGCGTATACAGAGGTGTGAAGAGTGTGTATAGAGAGAGAGAGAGATGTGGTTCCAAAGAGTGCGTTTTAGAAAGGAGTGATTTACAGGCGACGGCCTCTGACTCCTTAGCTTGTGTGCCACTGCCACGTGTCACAGCAACAGGCGGATTACGAGTGTACAAGTGCGGGAGTGTGCAATGGGGAGCAACAGCCACCGCACCTTAACAGCAGACCCCCCTGCTGCGCCCGCGGCCTTCTTCCCACCCGCTCGGAACGACGGCAGGCGGAACGACGCACTGCCCCGCCGGTCCGCAATGCTCGCACTCCCCCCCCCCACTGCACCCGCACCCGCTGCCCCCTTGTCCCCCCCCGGCAGCTTGAGGTCGACACGGAACGTGCGGAGGGTGGAGCCGGGCGCAGGGGTGGCGGTGGTGGGGAGAGCAAACGTGGAGCTCTTCTGAAGAGCGGGCTTGGCTGGCTGTGGTAGGGCCTTTTCCAGGAAACGCTCGATTGCTGGGACCTGGTGGGGAGGAGAGGTTTGAAGGAGAGGGGAGGGGAGAGAGGTTGATGTTTCTTTTGAGTCCCCCTTGTCCCCCCAGGGCAGCTTGAGATCGAGGCGGAACGTGCGGAGGGTGGAGCCGGGCGCAGGGGTGGCAGTGGTGGGCAGGGCGAAGGTGGAGCTCTTTTGCAGGGCGGGCTTGGCCGGCTGGGGCAGGGCTTTCTCCAAGAACCGCTCGATTGCCGGGACCTGGTGGGCTGGAGGGGCAAAGGGAAGGGGAGGAGAGAGAAATTGGTGCAGGAGTGGCGGTGGTGGGCAGTGCAAAGATGGAGATCTTCTGCAGGGCCGGCTTGGCTGGCTGTGGTAGGGCTTTCTCCAGGAACCGCTCGATGGCCGGTACCTGGTGGGAGAGAGAGGTGTAGAGTGCAGGGCAGGGGAGCAAGATGGGCGGCGGTGTTGAGGGGGGGGCGAACGTGGAGCTCTTCTGCACGGCGGGTTTGGCCGGCTGTGGTAGGGCTTTCTCTAGAAACCGCTCAATGGCCGGGACCTGGAAGGTGGGAGGGGGTGCAGGGAGGTGGGGAAAGCAAGGCGGAACGCGCGCAGGGTGGAGCCGGGCGCAGGAGTGCGGTGGTGGGCAGGCCGAAGGTTGAGCGCTTCTGAAGGGCGGGCTTGGCCGGCTGCGGTAGGGCTTTCTCCAAGAACCGCTCGATTGCCGGGACCTGGTGGGCGGGAGGTTTGGAGGGGAGGGGAGGCGAGAGAGATTGATGCTTCATTTGAGTCCCCTTTGTTTCCCCCGCCCGCTGCCCCCTTGTCCCCCACTCTCTTTAGTCGACTGCACATTGGTTGACTTGGAGCGCAGCACGTGCAGCAGCAGCAGGCGGCTTTTGAGGGACCTCAAAAGCCCGCACCCCAGTCACTTCACTCCCCACACTCACCTCGCTCCCCACACTCACTTCACTCCCCACACTCACTACCCTCCCCACACTCACTTTACTCGACTGCACATCGGCTGACTTGGAGCGCAGCACGCGCAGCAGCAGCAGGCGGGCGCACGACACGACCGGCCAATCAAGCGACAGCGCCTTAGAATGTGCCCACGCCAGCAGCGCCACCACCGCCGCCCGTACCTCCTCTGCCGCCCGCCCCTCCTCCTCACTGCCAGCTGGCAAGGCTGCGACAGCTGTCAGCATCTGAGGCCACAAAGGGAGAAAATCAGAGCGGACAAACAGGGGGAAGCAGGGGTTCGGAGGGGGAGGGGGGAATGGGGCCAGAGTTGGAGTGGGGATGTTGTTGCTACGATGATGCAATGCTCGCGAACTCACCTCTGCTCTCCACCACTCTCCTCCCATCTCCACCACTCACCACTGCTCTCCAGCACTCACTACCGCTCTCCACCACGCACCTCTCGCAAGCACGCGTTGCTCTCCTCAGCCAGAGCAGGCGCATCGCTCTGCCCGTCCACCATCACTCGATTCATCCGCCCCACCACCTCATCCCTCCGCCTCTCCCACTCCCCACCATAGCCCGCCTCATATAATGCACACACGTACCTCTGCTCTTCAATACGCACCTCTCTCAAGCACGCGTTGCTCTCCTCTGCGAGAGCAGTTGCATCGCTCTGCCCGTCCACCATCACCCTATTCATCCGCCCCACCACCTCATCCCTCCGCCTCTCCCACTCCCCACCACTTCCCGCCTGCTGCTGCTGCTGCGGCTGCAACCCCCCTGGACCCACTCTCACAGCAGCAGCAGCAGCAGCAGCGGCACGAGCAGCAGGACCCCCCTGCTTCCCTTCAGTCCCCTGCCCCTGCTGCTGAGCGCCCTGGCCTTCGCCTGCCCCTGCTCCTCCATCCCCGTGTCCCGCTGTGCCATTTGCAGTGATTGCCTGTCCCTCTCCGGCCTGCACCTGTGCCTGCGCCTGGGCCTGGGCCTGCACATGGGCATCCACCTTCATGAGGGCAGAATTCTCGAGAGCAGCCTGGGGAGGAGGAGGGGGAAATATGCAGGGCGAAGGAGGGGAAGAGAGGGGTGAAGGGAAACGGGGGGGAGAGGATTCATTGCTGCTACTGCTTGCCTGGGCCTGCACATGGGCATCCACCTTCATGAAGGCAGAGTTCTAGAGAGCAGCCTGGTGAGGAGGAGGGTGGGAAGAGGAGGAACGGAGGGGGCAATGGATGTGGAATGGATATTGTGGGAGTCAAGGAGCTGGGTTGAGATGCTGTGGGCATGGTGCGCGTGCAGTGGAAATGGTGGGGGTGGAGCGGGCATTGTAGAGTCACATACCCTTTTTGAAACAGTCAACCTCCATTCTGAGAATTGATCACCAGTTACGTTGGAATCCCTTTTGAGAACTCTCACAAGCGATTCTACTCGGCCAGCTTCAGTCAACCACAGTCAACCTCCTGTGTGGGCAAAAGCTCACCAGCGCGCTGTTGGTGGCCTCCAGGCGAGACAACAGACTCGCATTCTCTGAGTTCAGCTCCTGGTGATTGGGGGAAGACGGGGAGGGAGGGAGAAGAGGGGAGGGAGAGGGAGGGGAGAGAGGGGATGAGAGGGGTTCGACTGGGGGGAACTGGAAAGAAACGTTCAGTGTTGTTGGTGGCTTCTAGGTGAGACAGCAGACAGCCAAGCTGTCGTCTCACCCTGTTCCACGCATCACTGTTGCTCCACTCCACTTCACCTTCACAAAACCATGACCTAATCTCCTCCTGCCCCATACCACCCACCCATGCCACCTATGCCACCCATGTCACCCATACCACCCACGCTACCCATACCACCCATACCACCCAGACCACCATACCATTCATACCACCCATACCACCCATGCGAGAAGCAACTTACCCGGGTGAGCGCTTCGCTCTTCTCCAGCTCGTTCTTATACGCTGTCATATCTTCTGCACCGCCGCCTCATACCACTACCTCGCCATCTCTGCTCTACCAGCACACATTTGTTGATTCTTTCCAACCTCTCAGCCTCGCGACAGAAACTCACCCGGGTGAGCGCTTCGCTCTTCTCCAGCTCGTTCTTATACGCTGTCATCTTCTGCACCCCCGCCTCGTACTGCTGCCGCACTGCAGTGGCTCTCTCGCTGCAGCCATCCAGCCTCTCCCATGTTCCACTCCCAACCCTCTCAAGCCCAACAGCCATCCCAGAACCACCCATACATACCCGGGTGAGCGCTTCGCTCTTCTCCAGCTCGTTCTTATACGCTGTCATCTTCTGCACCGCCGCCTCGTATCGTTGCCTCAGCTCCGCCACCTCCGCTGAGTCCTCCTGCGGGCGGCGCAGTGCCGCCACCGTCGCCGCCATTTCGGCTGCTTCTGCCAGCCGCCCGTGTAGCTGCTCCACTTGGACCTGCAGCAGTGAGGGAGTGGAGGGGAAGGGACAAATTAGAGAAACGGGGTTGCAAGAAAAAAAGAGTTGCTTTCCATTGCTGCTGCCACCATTTTGGCTGCCACTTCCCATCACACCTCTATACCACCTTGTATGCCTCCATATCACCTCGTACCCCTCTAGATCGCCTTGCACGACCCTACATCACATTGAACGTCTCTAAATCCCCTTGCACGTCTTTATACCACGTTGCACCCCTTTGCATCACCTTGTACGCCTCTATCTCCGCAATGTGTTGCTGCTGCACGCGCTCCATCTCCTCCTCATGCTCCCTCACGGTCTTTGCTCCCTCCAGCACTGCTCGAGTCTCCCACTCCTCCTCCATCCGCCGCTGTGCCTCCAACCCCGCCGCCACCTCAGCCTGCAAGCATGGAAAGGGAAACGGAGAGATTTGAACACAAGGGTTTTGCGGCAGCTCGAAAGAAGGCACGGGGATTTGAGCACAAGGCACAGAAAGAGGAGTTCAGAAGGCCGATGCCCCGCTGCGCCTCCACCCCCACGGCCACCTCAGCCTGCAAGCATGAGCCTCTCCACTTCAGCATGGTGTTGCGCCTCCGCCAGTGCAGCCTGAGCCTAGCACTGATACGAGACATCATGCCTGTCTGTCCTACCCATCCACACCCCCCTCTCCCCCGTCCCCCTCTACCCGCTCACCATGAGCCTCTCCACTTCAGCATGGTGTTGCGCCTCTGCCAGTGCAGCCTGAGCCATATCCAACACTCACACACGAATGCTTACCCACCCTTTTCTCCCTCAAACCCTAGCCTATTCCCCTTCCCACCATGAGCCTTTCCACTTCAGCATGATGTTGCGCATCCACCAGGCCAGCCTGCGACCAGGCGCTACAACATAGCATCACGCCTGTCTGTCCCACACTCTCACCCATCCACACCTCTCCCTGCTCACCATGAGTCGTTCCACTTCAGCATGGTGTTGCGCCTCCACCAGTGCAGCCTGAGCCCATACCCAACACTCACACGCGAATGCGTACCCACCCTTTTCTCCCTCAAACCCTAGCCTATTCCCCTTCCCACCATGAGCCGCTCCACTTCAGCGTGGTGTTGCGCCTCTACTCCAACAGTCTAGCCTGAGCCCACAGCTATTTTGAAGCATGATGGATCCTCTTCAAACACAACCCCCCCCATCACCCCTCTCACAGTAATCCTCTCCACTTCAGCATGATGCTGTGCCTCCACCAGTCCATCCTGAGCCCATAGTATGGGTCCCACCCAGACACTCACACACCCGCTCACTCCCAAACCTTCCTCCCTCCTCTCACCATAAGCCGTTCCACTTCAGAGTGGTGTTGAGCCTCCACCAGTCCAGCCTGCGCCCAGGCGCGTTGCAGCTCGGTCAGCAGCACACACCCCGTCTGCTCGCTCGCCCTCACAGCGTCCCTCAGCCGTAGCACCTCCTGCTGCGCCTCTGCCGTCTGCCTCTCACTCTCAAACACCTCCCTCCGTGCGTCATTCGCCTGGGGGGGAAAGAGGGGGGCGGAGAGGGGGAGGGAAATAAGTTGACACTCTAACACATATTGCAGCACCTCCTGCTGCGCTTCTGTTATCTGCCTCTCGCTCTCAAACACCTCCCTCCTCGCATCATTCGCCTGGGGAGGAAAGATGTTGGGGGAGGAAGAGGGGGAGGAAAACACAGTGAAACTTAACACACATGGCAGCAGCTCCTGCTGCTCCTCTGCCATCTCGCTCTTAACACCTCCCTCCGTGTGTCAGTCGCTTACAAGGACGGGGAGGAAGGGAGGATACAAGCAGGTGACTCTTCAACGCGTTACAGCGCTTCCTGTACCTGTGCCATCCGCTGCAGGGTGTTTTTGAGAATTCTCAAAAACACCCTACAAGGACGGGGAGGAAGGGAGGATACAAGCAGGTGACTATTCAACGCGTTACAGCACTTCCTGCTGTACCTGTGCCATCCGCCTCTTTCTCAAACACCTCCCTCAGGTCACATCTCAAAGGTGTCACACGTTCCCAGGCTGAACCACCCGACCACTCACCCACCCAGACACACGATGCCCAACCCCAACGGACCCACAACCCCCAACGGACTCACCATGTCGCGCCACTTCTTGATGGTATCCCGCGTGCCGAGGCTGAGCTCGGAGTTGCGCGAGCGAGCGGCAAAGGCCAGCGAGAGAGCCGACTCCGCCACGTCCCTCACGGACGGGCTGCACGTCACCACCACCACCGTCTTGGCCTCGCCGCCTGGTGTCGGGGGAGAGAAGAGGAGAGAAGAGAGAAAGGAGGAAAGGAATACGCACTGGCTCCAAGCGTCCCTCACGGACGGGCTGCATGTGACCACCACCACCGTCTTGGCCTCGCCTCCTGTGGTAAAAGAGCGAGGAGAGAGAGCGATGCTTGTTCCCTGTATTGAGCATACTAGGCCACACACAAACGCATTTTCCCACACACCGAGGCAGTCAGGGAGCAACATGGTGAGCTTGCATTGCAGCTGGCGTTTGGCACCTGAGACAGACAATTGCACCATACAAGAATGGATTCTCATAAGAAGAATCAGAGCACGCAGCAAGCCAATCCCCCACGTACCAAGGCAGTCGGAGAGCAGCGTGGTGAGCTTGGAGTTGCCGTACGGCACGGTGGGGCGCTTGCCCGTGAGAGCAGACAGACAGTCGCCCAGGCTGCACGGGGGGGTGGACAGAAGGGGGGAAAGAAGAAGCAGACCGGAAACATAACAATATAGTATCCGTTTACATGTTGCTTTGGAAGGGGACCAAACAGAAACAAGGTATTATAGACTGAGAGTAAGGACTTGTGCACGTGCATCAAGCCAGTGTGGGGTTGCTTTCCGAGGCAGAGAACGTTTGAAAACCACAGAACAGAGCACATGCCACTTACACATGCATGACACAACAAATGATAAGCATGCCATGCACAACGTGGGTGGGTGACATGACATGCATCACGCATGACTTGAATGACACGCAACACACATATGGCAAGCCAAGAATGCACCGTACGCTGAAAATGGACTTTTGCACGTGCAGCGAGGCGGTGAGCTTGACCCTCGAGGCGAAGGAGGAGCTTTGAACCGCACAGACAGAACATACCAGATCGCACTTCAGACCCCATCAACCAACCCATCAACCAGCCCATCAACCAACCCATCAACCAACCCATCAACCAACCCATCAACCAACCCATCAACCAACCCATCAACCAACCCATCAACCAACCCATCAACCAACCCATCAACCAACCCATCAACCAACCCATCAACCAACCCATCAACCAACCCATCAACCAGCCCATCAACCAACCCATCAACCAACCCATCAACCAGCCCATCAACCAGCCCATCAACCAACCCATCAACCAACCCATCAACCAACCCATCAACCAACCCATCAACCAACCCATCAACCAACCCATCAACCAACCCATCAACCAGCCCATCAACCAACCCATCAACCAACCCATCAACCAGCCCATCGACCAGCCCATCAACCAGCAGCACCGTACGCACGCTGAGAATGACTTCTGCACGTGCAGCGAGGCGGTGAGCCTGTCGCCCGAGGCGGAGGAGGAGGCGAGGAGGCGCTCGCTGGAGGCGAGATCCGCCAGCAGCAGCTTGCCGCCCTGCTGCTCTCCCGTCACCGGGTCGTCGTGGTGCACTCGCACTATCACCACCCTGCCGTGCAGTCACAGGGCAGGAAGGAGTGAGGGGGGAAAGGGAGGAGAAAGGGGGGAGGGTGGGTGTGATCCGCCAGCAGCAGCTTGCTGCCCTGCTGCTCTCCCGTCACCGGGTCGTCGTGATGCACTCGCACTATCACCACCCTGGGGCGCAGTCACGTGGCGGAACACAGAGTGGGGAGGAGTGGGGGGAAAAGAGGAGGGGGGTTCTGCCATTTGCTGCCCTGCTGCTCTCCCGTCACCGGGTCGTCATGATGCACTCACTCGCACTATCACCACCCTGAGGTTCGGGCCATGGGAGGGGCAGAGGAGGACGATGGAGTGTGAAGCTTGCCTGTTATCGCGTTCCCATACAACAGCTCATCTGTGCATGCATAGGAACAGGCATACATAAGGGGGGAGATGGGAGAGGGGTAGGGGGGAGGGGAAGGAGGGAGGGAGAGAGGGGGGGCAGGGGCAAACGATCATATAAGCACAGCAAGAGGAGCGTAGAGTTTACTAGTGCAGGCGAGAGAAGAAGCTCACAAGTGGGAGAGCTTGTTGCGCTCCTTGCTGTCACCAACAAGCCCACCTCCCCCAGATGCACCTCCCCCTGCCGCGCGGTGCTGCAGAGCCGTCTTGACCACCTTGGCATACTCCATGGGGTTGCTCACCGCCTCCTCCCTCACCCCCCGCACCTCCACCTCCCCCCACCCCCCCACGCCTCCTCCTACTCCTCCTCCCGCTCCTCCGCGTCCCCCTGCTGCTGCTGCGCCTCCCCCTCCCGCCCCCCCATGCACAATCTCCACCTTCCCCAAGGACCCATGGCCGCCCTGCAAGGGGTTCACCAGCAGGTCGCTCAGCTGTGGCAGGGACAACGGGAGAAACGGGAGAAACGGGAGAAACGGGAGAAACGGGAGAAACGGGAGAAACGGGAGAAACGGGAGAAACGGGAGAAACGGGAGAAACGGGAGAAACGGGAGAAACGGGAGAAACGGGAGAAACGGGAGAAACGGGAGAAACGGGAGAAACGGGAGAAACGGGAGAAACGGGAGAAACGGGAGAAACGGGAGAAACGGGAGAAACGGGAGAAACGGGAGAAACGGGAGAAACGGGAGAAACGGGAGAAACGGGAGAAACGGGAGAAACGGGAGAAACGGGAGAAACGGGAGAAATGGGGAAAACGGGAGAAACGGGAGAAACGGGGAAAACGATAAAAAATTCCAAGATGGAGCAAGGGTTGAAAAGGAGGTGTGGTGAACCGATAAATCCCCCCTCCGCTGTCCGTCCCCTTCCTCCACTTTCCCCCTTCAGCCGTTCCCTCAGTGACTCAGTCAGCCCATAAACCCAGCCCACCCACCCCTCTGCTCGTTTCACATCTAAATTGCCTGCCTCACAGCTCTCCTCACTCCACTAACCCACACCACCCCCCTCCCCTCCACACCTGCTCGTTGCACATCTGCACCGCTCTCCGCCCCCCTTCCCCCGAGCCCCCATGCACCCACCCTCCACCTCCCCTCCCCCCTTACCTGCTCGTTGAAAATCTCGAGAACGCTGACGTGGAAGGTGTAGCTGTCAGCAGGGGCGTATGTTGAGTTGGCAAGGTCGTAGATCTCATCAAACGCTCGGTAGAAGATGCCGCGGTCGTGGGACGGGCCCTCCTGTAATGGCGCAAGAGGTGGGGAGGAGGAAGGCGGGGGGGTGGAGGAAGGAGGAGTCGTGTGGGGTTTAGTCCTGAGTTGGCGAGGTCGTATATCTCGTCAATCGCTCGGTAGAACATGGCCCTGTCATGGGACGGGCCCTCCTGTAATGGCGCAGTGGGGAGGAGGGGGTGTATGTGGGCTAGTGGGGAGGAGGGGGCACAGTGGGGAGGAGGGGGGGGGGGGGGACTAGTGTTGCCGTCTGCAAACGCTAGGTAGAAGATGGCCCTGTCATGGGACGGGCCCTCCTGGAGAAAGGGTGGGGGGTGTGGAGGGGCAGGGAGGTGGGAGGTGGGGTGCGGAGGGATTAGTTTTAGGGTCCTCTTGGGGGCAAGGTCGTAGTAGATCTCATCGAACGATCGGCAGAGGATGCCACGGTCATGGGATGGGCCCTTCTGGAATGGCACATGGAGAGGAAGGGGTGGTGGGAGGTGGAAGGATCGAATATGTGGTCCTCAGTGTGTGAAAGATCATACGACTCATCAGGTTTGGTACCTGCTCATGCCCATGGTCAACCACACCAGCAGAAGGCAGCAAGGAATGCAGCCATCCTGGTTTGGGTTGGGACCACCGCAATGCACAATCCCCTTCCCATACCCCCCTGTGAATCTACTTCCATAATTCCTACCAGCCTGTTTGGAAATCAAATCAGATCAAATCAAATATATATATATATAAAACCTACAATTTTTACTGGCCTTATACTCGTTCATACCATGGTGTGTGATTTCCCGGAGCCACTCTGGCCATACGCGATGATGGAGGCGTTGAAGCCGTCCATCACAGCCTGCACCATGGGCTGCACCGCGTCCACGAATAGATCGCCTGCACAGCAACAACGTGGAGGAAAGAGGTACAGAGCGGTTCAGTGCGGTGACAGGCGTTGAACCCGTCCATCACAGTCTGCACCATGGGCTGCACCGCGTCCACGAATAGATCGCCTGCTCAACAACAAGGTGGAGGTACAGAGCGGTTCAGTGCGGTCATAGGCGTTGAACCCGTCCATCACAGCCTGCCCGACACCATGGGCTGTACAGCGCCCAGGAATAGATTGCCTGCACAACCCCTCGCTCGCATCGCAATGCACTGCGATTCAGTGCGGTTCAATTCAACTGGCTCACCTTGCCCCACATGCGGCCCATAGATGTGATCCAGCTCATAGTCCCTCTTCGCCAGCCCACTGCTGCCACCCCCACCACCCAAGGACCCAGGAGACCCTGCACTGCCCGCACCGTCAGCACCAGCCGCACCGGCTGCAGCAGCAGCGGCAGCAGTGGCAGTGGCAGTGGCAGAGGCGGAGGGGTTGATGCGGATGGTGGTTTCGTCTGGGAAGGAGAGAGCGAGTGAGTCCTCGTGCTCGAATGTCGGACGCACCCGACACACCACTCGGATGTTGCCTGATTAAAAGAGGAGAGGGGGAGAGAGGGAAGGAAAGGAGTGGAGAGAAGAGGAGTGGAGAGAAGAGGAGAGTAGAGAAGAGCGGATCAGAGCGGAGGAGATTGTGAGGATGAGAGAGTGTGAGAAGATTTTGAGGAGAAGAATATGAGCGAGGACAAAGTGAGGAGTGTGAGGAGGAGAGTGCGTGGAGAGAGATACAGTACAACGTCTGGATCGACACAACAAAGTGGGCGCATTCCGCGCGTCAGGAAGTGGTGCCCACATGAAAGGTGAATGGGATGGGAGGTGACCTTTGGACTGGATGAGGCTGTTGAAGAGCCGTCGGCGCTCCTTCTTCAGAGGCGCCACCTTTGACTCCGCCTCCTGTGCCACCTGGTCTGCTTGCACAAACACACACGAGCCAGGAGAGTGTGATAAGAGTGAGAAGATGCCATGTGACGAAGAAACGGGTGTGGCAAAGGAAGGAGGTGTGCGAAGAAACTTCGGCCCAACTCTTAAAGGTAGCATTTGCCTCACGAGAACGGATTTCGAGGCGCCTCAGAGGGCATCAAGCCTGCCTTGCCAGGATTAGTCTTGTCTGCTCTGCAGTAGCTGCAGCTTCAACGACGGAGTCTAAGTACGGAGGCCACGTAATGCATCAATCCATCAGGTGCTTCACTGGCATGAAGCACGGAAGCCGCAGTGCACGCACCGAGGCCGTGGGCCTTCTTTGCCAGTAGCTGCAGGTAGGTCTGAATGCACAGCAGCTCTCCTACTTCGAGTCTAGTTTGCAGTAGCTTCAGCCTCACGTAAGGAGTTTAAGCGTGGAATGTAAGGCACGTACCGAGTCCGTGGGCCTTCTTGGCGAGCAGCTGCAGGTACGTCTGGGCGCGCATGAGCTTGGCGGAGGCATACTCCTGCAGGTCGCACGCGTCCTGCCGTAGCTCCAACACCTCCTCCCTCGCTTGCTGGGGGGAGGAAGAAGGGGGAAAAGGAACGTATGATGTTGGAGGGGTTGATGGGAGGGGGGTAGGCCTGCAGGCATACTCCTGCAGGACGCACGCGTCCTGCCGTAGCTCCAACACCTCCTCCCTCGCTTGCTGGGGGGAGGAAGAAGGGGGAAAAGGAACGTATGATGTTGGAGGGGTTGATGGGAGGGGGGTAGGCCTGCAGGCATACTCCTGCAGGTCGCACGCGTCCTGCCTCAGCTCCAACACGTCCTCCCTCGCTTGCTGTCCGCGCATGAGTGGCGTGCAGGGGGGGGATGGCAGGAAGTGAAGGGTTGGAGATGAGGCTGGGAACAATCAAAAGGCATACTCCTGCAGGTCACACGCGTCCTGCCGTAGCTCCAACACTCCTCCCTCGCTTGCTGGGGAGAGGGGGGGGAGGTGGGGAAGGGGGGTTGGGGTTGAAAGGAGGGCGGTAGGGTTGGAAAACGGGGAACAGGAGGGTTGGACATGAGGGTGATGGGGATCGATCCTGTCAGTGGCGCGTTGCTGCAGATCACACGCGGTCGGCGCACCCTCCTTGAACGACACAGGGTAGTGACGAGGAGTGACCGGGAGTGACGAGGAGTGACCGGGAGTGACGAGGAGTGACGGGGAGTGACCGGGAGTGACGAGGAATGACGGGGAGTGACCGGGAGTGACGAAAATTGACGGGAAGTGACGACGAGGAGTAACGGGGGAGTGACGAAGAGTGACGGGGAGTGACGAGGAGTAACGAGGAGTGACGAGGAGTGACGGGGAGTGACGAGGAGTGACGGGGAGTGACGAGGAGCGACGGGGAGTGGTGGCGAGTGACGGAGGGTGATGGGAGTGGTGGGGTTCGCGAGGGAGAAAGGGATGGGTGGTCTGTAGGGGGGAGACAGAGGTGTGCATAGAGATACGCGCGGGTGTGCTGCAGCACTCTCCGATGGAGAGAGAACGTTGCATTGCTCGCGTGTAAAGAAGTGGCTGGGACGTTCCACTGCTTGCGGAGTGCGGAGAACGGGCTACAACCACACGGAATTACGCGGAGCACAATGAAAAGCTCTCACAAGCTTTCATAAGCTCTCATTTAACCTCATACGCTCTTATAAACTCGCAGAAACTCCATGAGTCCCGCAGCACAAGCTGCTCACCTAAGGTGCTCCTTCTTCAGGCGCCTTGGAACTCACCCGTAGTCGATCCTTCAGCCCGACCGCCTTTTCCGTTACCGCGGCCATTCGTTTCTTCCCGGCCGTCATTCCGCCTGACGCTCCTTTTGACGGAGTGCCAGAACCGGCACCTTTGACGGTCCGGCGAGTGCCAGCCGACATTCGGCCGGTTTGCGGAGGAGGAGCGCCCGTGCTTGACGCCGCTGATGGCGGGTCTGACGACGGCCGACCGATGTCAGACAGTGAGGCACCATGGAACCACTGATCGTCCGCCATGGCTGCTAAGTGACCGTTTTACAGAGGTCAATAAATCAAGCGATGGACGCCAAACAGTCGCAATGCTGATGCTACGCTTTCGAGCAGCGTGCTACCATTTAGTCTGATAAGCTAGGGGGGTGGCACGATGCCGTTTTCACTAAACTCCTACAACCGACACAAAGGAAAGTCCCAGTGAACTTGAACAAGCTACGCTACGAAATTCGGTGTGGATAGGGAGCTAATAACAGAAACGCCACTATTTATATCGAAGCGCTACAAGCATAGTGCGAGTTCTAGAGTTTACTTAATGGCTGCACACATGCATGTGTTGAAGCAGCGGTTCCAATGAGCCATTGTGATGCTGTTTCCGAGCATGACTTCCGACCTACAAAGCAATATATGAGGAGGCAGACATGATGATATGCCTCACAGGCTGATCTGACAGCAGCCTCTGACACTGTTGGAAAAATCGAGGGAGAAAACGAGGGAGAAATCGAGGGAAGCGAATCAAAAGGCAAGACAGCCGACAGGAGGAATGGAGGAGGTACCCAAGAACATGACGACCAGCAAGGGCGCGGAATGGCGCGATTGGTTGGATACTGCAAGAGCCGACAATCGGATGACGAAAGTTACCTTTTGGTTTACAGGATACACCTCGTTCGCACACGAACAAAAATAGGCTCAACAGTTCTACATTTTTCAGGGATTGCTCCAGATTCACACAGATCGACACCTATAGGAGTTCTTCTGAAACAGAAGAACTCGTTACAAGCTCAGATCGAATCACAGCCAGCTTGCTTTAGAAGCATCCAGCTGTTGTGCCACGCTGGAACACTTACTCCGAACGAAACATCTCCAGGCACTTCCACCAACCTATGCCCATGGCCGTGGGCAGTCCTAAAATTCTGTTTTTGAGAAGTGGGAGGAGTAAAAGGCAAGGAAATCATACCTATTGAAAGATAGAAATAACATTTGTCCTCCTTTTTCGTACCCTTGAAACCTTCTTCCCTCTGCTCCATAGTCTCCACTCCACACTTGGACCTGAAGACAGCCAATCTCGACGTCCCGCGACCCTGCCTGCATCCCATGACCCGCCATCACCCTACAAATTCTCCCCTCACTGTATTCTGTTTAGGCTGCCTCTTCTCTTTCTTTCACCTCCATTCCGTCTGTCATTCCTCCAAGCACAGCACGACTTGTCCGGACAGCCTTAGCTCCCAACACATACACGTCACAATGGCGGCTACCGCCCTTCATACAGCTGCCTCCGTGGCGTCTCCGTGCCTAACTTACAAGGTCCGTTCGCCATACCTTCCTCCCAATGTCAGAACTTTCGTGTTTCCTGTGTGTCGCACGACGGCCGCAGTTATCGCACGCCCATTACCGAAGGTCGCCAAGGAGACTCAGCAATTCTAGGAAACTCAGCAATGTTAGGAAACTCAGCAATGTTACGAAACTCAGCAATGTTACGAAACTCAGCAATGTTACGAAACTCAGCATTTTCTATCTGCTACGGTGGTTCCTGTGCAGGCGGGGTCCACGTCACAAGCAGCGCGATCAGCGGTACCAGGTAGGCACGTTCACGAGTTAAGCCTGAAAGAATACCGTCTGCATGATGTATGATCGCATTTGTGATGTAATCCGTGTCTGCATCGCCGTGTCTCAACTTCCTTTTCTCGTCTTCATAACAGCTAGCACTTATTTTCCCCTTCAACGAACCATGCTTTGATTCGACTCACAACATAACAGCTAGCACTTGTTCTCCCTCGCCTCCCCTCCACTTCTCCCTTCCCGCGCCCTTTTTCAAAATCATCTTCCGCTGACCCTTTACCACCTCCCACCCACCACCATCGCATTACCTCCAGCTCTCCCTCTCAGGAGCCTGTCTTCCCTCTCCCAGTCCTCCGCCTTCCGCCAAGCCTGCGCGCGAGTCTCGGCCTCCCGAGCCAGCAGCCTCGGCGCGAGTCGCAGGGGAGGCATGACGGTGCGCGCCATGTCGTCTGATGGCGGGTCCGGCGGCGGCGAAGGCGGAGTGGACATCTGGGTTGGGCGGCTGGCGATGATGGGCTTCGTGGGGGCTCTGGTGATGGAGGTGGCCACTGGCAAGGGGCTGCTCGAGGTGAGCGAGTGAAGGGCTTGCGAGCGGAGGATTGTTTGGGGTGCGTTGTGCGAATGGGGTCTCGTGTTTCGAGGAGGCTTGAAGTGTGGCAGCTGGCGATGATGGGATTCGTGGGGGCATTGGTGATGGAGGTGATCACTGGCAAAGGGCTGCTTGAGGTGAGCGGGAGAGAGAAAACGCCTCCTTAACTGGGTATTGGAGAATGAATTGCAGCAACAATGCGCAATCGCAGTACGCAATAATGGATAATATTATACTCCACATCTGACGGATATAGGCGGGTGACAATGACTGGTGCATTTTTCTACTGATGATGGATGTGGGTGACACCAGGCAAACAGTTCCCCTGAGCCTCATCAGAAGAAGCATCGAAATATTATATAGAGTGTATTTACAATGGGCGCTGCAGAAGTGGAACATCTAAAATGGGCGCTGCAGAAGGGCATGTGGAATATGTGCAAGTTGACATGTGCACAAGCATATTTTTCCTTTACATCCACACTTTGTACCGTTTCCTTGTCTCACCCTCCTCTCAGTATGTTTTCTCTCTCTCGTTGTGGCGTTGCATCCTGCTTCTATTCCACTTCTCTATTCCGTTCATCCCTCCCATTCGCTGCTCTCCATTCCCACTTCTCTATTTCCGTATCACGCCTTCCCCCATTCAGCTCTGTCACAATCACTTCTCCATTTCACCTCTCCCTCAATCCCCTGCCAGTTGATTGGAGTGCCCACGCCGCTGCCTGCCCTGGCGCTCGTGATTGTGGCTGCAACGGGTGCATTGACTGCCTTCGGTGTCTTCCGCTCCTCCCAAGACTAGAACCCTCAATTCAAGCCACTGCTTGGCATCTACTGTTCCTCCCAAAATCCATACCCTTTGCATGATGAGACGAGAATTATTCGATGTCATGCCTTTTTGTAAATTTGTCACTTGCAACATCCAAAACATGCTTTGTTCATGAAGGTGATGTTAGCTAGAGTAACAACAATTACCGGTAACCAAGACTTGGACACTGCCTAGGGGCCTCCACAACACACGTTTCAGCCATGCTGAGTGCTTGCTAGGTCCCCAATGCTTTAGTAGCACCAAACCAAACATATGTATACCGTATGACAAGTGGTATTAATACCGGCAATAAAACAATGGCACGTCATACACATGCACAAGCAAACCACCAACTCAGGAAAATTATAGTCGATTCTAGCCTCATTGCCCATGCCTTGCCTGGTGAGATGCCAGCCGGGCGCCTCGTCCATGAGGAAACGGTGTGCAGCTGGGGGACCAAATTCTTACCGCTACAGATAGGGAAATGGAACGGTGCTGGTGCTGCGAGTGAAGTGTAGTGCTACACCACAAAGTTGTCGATCACATGCTGTATCACGCTGGCTCCATGCGCCTTGAGTGTTGGGATGTTCACCTGGAGGCCATTGGGTAAGGGGTTGACAGAGGAAGCATGTGAACCTGCTGTGTCGCACATGCTCTGTCGCACATGCTGTATCACACTGGCTCCATGCGCCTTGAGTGTTGGGATGTTCACCTGGAAAACATTAGTGGAAAGGTAACGGGGGGTTGACAATGGCAGACATGGGTTTGCCCTCACATCGCATGCTGTGCTGCACTCGCCTCCTGGCCTTGAGCGATGCCCACTATACGCAAACAGAATGGAAGCTGAACGCTATTATGCAAACAGAGCACAATCAGAATGGACTGAGACGGCAAACCAAAACCCATCCTGTGGGCAGGCAAAAAAACCCAGTACCTTTACTCCCACACAAAGAGAAACAGTCGGATGAGAATGGTGGTGAGAGCGAGGAGAGGCAATACCTGAATGAGGATGTGAGCGAGGAGAGGCAATACCTGAATGAGGATGTGAGCGAGGAGAGGCAATACCTGAATGAGGATGTGAGCGAGGAGAGGCAATACCTGAATGAGGATGTGAGCGAGGAGAGGCAATACCTGAATGAGGATGTGAGCGAGGAGAGGCAATACCTGAATGAGGATGTGAGCGAGGAAGGCAAGTGGTGACGATGCAAAGTTGACATCTATGCGAGCCCATGCGACACGGTTGAGATTGTCCACCATGGCGTCTGAGGGGCAGGTGAGGGGTTTGAGACGTGAAAGGGACTCATTGGCTGAATGCAAAAGGGAGCATGAATCACCTCTGAAATGATTGAGCCCATGGGACACGCTTGAGGTTGTTCACCATGGCATCTGAGGGGCAGGAGGGGCGTCAGAGGCGGGAGAGGGACCCATGAGTTGCGTGCGTGAAGGAAGCATGGGTGATGATTTTAGACTCGACTACAAAATCATTGAGCCCATGGGACACGCTTGAGATTGTCCACCATGGCACCTGGCATATGGAGGGTTGGGGTTAGCGTGAGGAGAGGCATGAGGGTGTGAAACCAAAGAAGGAACCAGCAAAGCTGACAGCCGTTGATAAGTGCGAGATGGATGCTCGGAGCAGGAAAGCTGAAAGCACTTGTGTGAGCCCATGGGATGCGACTGAGATGATCCATGATGGCATGATGGCAAGTGGGCATGATGGCAAGTAGGCATGATGACATGATAGCATCTTAGGGAAGACATGCACAGGTGGCCGGGAGATGCCAACAGTACTTGAGTGGTAGAGGGGAATTAAATGCAAGAGGAACTCAAGTACAAGGTGCTGATCAGTGAAGCAGATGGATGGTTGCTGATTAAGTCATAATAACAGAGACATGGAGAGGCGATTCTTGCGTTCACTAGAGAAAAAAACGGAGATGTGGAGAGGGAACACACCTTCCCACTGCATGTGAATGCTATGCTTCTTCGGTGCTATCCCTGCAGCGCGCGGCAGCATGGCAGCACCACCAGCACCACCAGCAGCGGCAGCAGTAGCAGCAGGACCACCAATAGATGCTCTCCTCGCCTTATTCTCATCCCCACGCCATCCCTCATCACTCCCATGCTCAATCTCGTTCTTTATCGCCCCTCGTCCTGTTCTGCTGTTGCCACTACCTTCCCCACTGCTGGCCCCACTCCCGCTGCCGCCACTGCCACCATCACCGCTGCCCCTGCCACTCGCGCCCCTAGGAACCATACCCTCACTCATGCTACGCACCAGCTGCAACCGTTCCTCCTCACCCTCCTCAGGTGAACCCTCAGGAGGATCGTCAGGTGATTTTTTATGGTTCTCAAAGGCCTGTTCTCCTTCCTCACCCTGCTCAGTATGCCCCTTGTCTTTCAGCTTCAGTGGTTGCTGCTTGGACGGCAGGAACTGCTGCTGTGGGGAACCGAACCCAAAGCCCAGGCCAAAGCCGGGAGTTGATGGTGTCTTCCCCCCCGCTTTCCACCTTCCCTTCAACCGCGCAAAGAAATTAGTGTGCTCCTTGGGCTCTGGAGCGTCACCTCCAGATCCTTCTGACGGACCACCTGAAGGAGCACCTGAAGGAGCACCTGAAGGAGCACCTGAAGGACCACCTGAAGGACCACCTGAAGGACCACCTGAAGGACCACCTGAAGGACCACCTGAAGGACCACCTGAAGCATCACCCGTGGCATTCCCTGCCACAAAATCAGAAGCTTCAGCTGCTAAAGCACCTGTGGTGTCCGCTCGTGCAGCAGCAACAGCAGCAGAGGCAGCACTGGCACGCGAAGCATCACAAGCAACCAAGTGCAACAACGGGGTGTTGGTGTGGCATCCTTTCTCCTCTCCTCCTGCACCTGTGTCAGGACATCCAGGGGCCCTTGGCTCTGGCTCCCTCGGTTCGGGCTGCACTACTGGTTTCTCTGATTGGCACGGCATGGGCTGTACTCTCACGATGAAGCGATAGTCTGGCAGCTCGTGCAGTTTGTCAAGCTGTAGGCGTGGTGGAAGGGTAGAGAAAGGGGGAGCAGGGAGAATCAGAGGCAAGATGCAGGTGCTGCACTCTCACGATGAAGCGATAGTCTGGCAGCTCATGTAGCTCGTCAGGCTGGAGGGTGTGGGGGACGGCAGAATATTGGGGAAGAAGGAAGCATTGAAAGAAGCTGGGGTTCTGAGGATTCGCTTCTAGGCAAGAAGGAGGTGTTACGCAGTTGGCAAGATGCACCTTTGAGAACTCTCAAAAGGTTACAAAGGTGGGGCTACAGAGGTCTCAAATGGAGAAGAAGATTATAGGAAAAAGGGGCTGGTTAGAGGGGAGGTGGAATGCCCGGGGAATGAAGAGCAGGTGGCTGGAGCTAAAAAACAGGAATGAAGATTGACATGTGGAAGGTGACAAACACAGAAATGTGGAATCACAGACAAGGGGAGACGAACCCACTGATGGCTTATGAGTCAACTCAAGAGACAGGCTAGGTGGCAGGAGAAAGGAGAGATGAACCCACCGACGGCATCTCCCACTGGTGTCGGATTGAGGCTGTTCGCCAGCCAACCATTTCTACATGGGAGAATGGACGCAAGAGGAGGGGTGAAGAGCGGTAAGGTAAGAGAGAAGTGGGTGGAAAGGTAATCCAGTGCAAAAAAAAACACACAAAAAAAGGGGGAAGTTCCAAAGACGGGAAATCTGGACAACAAATGGGCCAAGGCAATGACAGGAAAGCAACAGGGGAGGACCCGAACGAAAGGGATACAGTGAATGCTTACGATCCCCTGAGACATTTGCGTATGCAGCTCTGTACTTGAATGCAGCGAGAGCAGACCTGAGGGGGTGAAAAGGGGGAAGGGGGTAGAAGGGAATACAAAGGCACCCGGTACCGATGGAAACAGGAAGGCCCAGTGATGCGCTTATGATCCTGGGAATGAAGGCCAACGTTTGGCTCGAAAGCATCCTTTTGGCCAGCGTTTAGACTCTTGGAAACGATGACCTGACCAAGTGCAGCACGGTATTTCACCAAACCTATGCATCCACCAATGTTAAGATGGAGCATAGGGAAAGGTTCCAGACAGGAGAGTGTGGATGAGTCAACCTTTGATTTTTTTAATGCGTTACAATCTGCTTCAGTAAGTGGAAAGGCAGATGAGGCAATACTTGCCAAAAAAAAAACAAAAATGACAGGGAGTAACCGGAACGAACAAACGTACAGGAAGGGGCCTTCCTCGTTGTCAGTGGTCATGCGAAGCAGCAGAGGCAGCTGGTGTTTCTCCTTGCGACTCCCAACCCCTTTCTCTGTTGTCTCCTCTGAAGGGCCTTCTGCTGCTGCCACCCTTGTCACGTCAAACAGGCTGCTTCCCAGCCGATGCAGCCGCACCATCCCATGCTGCTGCTGCGGCTTCTTCTGGTGCTGTTGTTGCTGCTGCCGCTGCTGCTTCCCAGCCCCTCCCTTCCCGCTGCTTCTGGTTCCTGAATGGTCAGCACCCACAGCAAGGCCTTCAGCAGCTGGGTTAACAGAAAGGTTAGCAAGGGGACGCCCAGCGTCAATGGAAGAGGAGGAGACAGTCGTGTCGGTGCTGAGATGGGGATCGATACCAGACGGTGCTAGAAGCTCAGCAGCACCGGGGGTTTCAAACCGAGCGTTGGCTGCACCGGTGGTTTCAATATGAGCTTCGGCGCCAGTCGAACCAATGGTAGGGTCCGGATCGCCGGTATCGACTGGAGGTTCCGCGTCGGGTGTTTCGACAGGAGGATCGACGTCTGTGAGGAAGAGGTGGCGGGCAGAGCGGCCGAGGAAGAGCGGGGCGAGTGGGACCGACGCCTTCTCGAAGAGGCTCACCTTGAGCAAAAAGGGCAGCTGGGAACGTGATGATGGGTGGACGGGCAGAAGGAAAGGATGGAATGGGGGATTAAGACAGGAAGCATGGAGGGGAAGTGAGGGGTTAGCGGGACGGATGCCATGTTGAAAAGGACAACTTGAGCAGATAGGACAGCTGGCATGCACCTTTCCTGGAACAAACCAGACCATCTAACAGATCTAACCATCTTTCCACACGCATTCAGCCAGCCATGCACTGTCTGTCCCACACAGACTTCCATCTTTCCCTTCTCAAGCCTATCACCTGCCTAAAGCCTCGACACACGGAAAGGCCATAGTGAGGCCCAATATCCTTACATGCCCTTTCCCATGAGAGCCTAGGTGTGGCGAAGCGAGCGTGACAAAGTTCATTGGCTCCAGCCCTGCTATGCACGGCCCTTGGTATCGCCCTCCCCATTCCTCGTCCTCCTCCTCCTCTTCCACTTCTTCTTCTTCCTCCTCCTCTTCCTCTTCCTCCTCCTTCCCCCCCTGCACGTTGCAGCAGCCTCCATCAATGCTACTGCTGGTTGACTCTGTTGCATGTTCACCTTCGATCTCTGCTGCTGCAAGCTCACTCTCGTGTTCCTCCAACCTGCCACCAGCTTCAGGGAATTCATGCTCTCTCATTCGCACTTCATTGTCCTTCCACTCACCCTTCTCTCCCTGCCCCTGCCCCTGCCCCTGCCCCTGGCTCTCCCCCTCCCCGACCTGCTTCTGCTCCTCCTGCTGCTCCACCTGGTACCCATCCTCCTCCTCCCGCTCATCCTCCGCATCTAGAAACAACATGGGAGGGAACGAATCCCCCAGCTGCGACTGCTCCTCCTGCTTCCGAAGAACATCCAGAACCGACACACTTGGTGATTTCGGCATGAAATGGCGCGGCAGGGATGGTGCATCGGAGGGTAGAGAGGAGGTGGAGGCGCATGTGGGGAAGGTGGTATCTGGTGAGTGCTCCTCTGGTGGAGGTGTACGTGAGGAGCTCGAGAAATAGTCGTCCTCTGGTTGTGTATGTTGGCTCGTTTGCCTGTGCAAGTGGTGGCCTGAAGGGTCGCAACTGGAAGGATCGCATTTAGAAGGGCCGCTCGTACTGTCGCGTGAGGGCGGTTCATGTGAGGAAGGTTCACGTGAGGGAGGTTCATGTGAGGACGGTTCATGTGAGGCAGTTGGGCAGGGGGGGTGGTACATCTGAGCGATGGCGTAGCGCGAGAGGACGCCGCCCAGAGAGTGAGCGATGAAGGAGATCCGCCGCAGCTGCGGATTCCTGTGAACCACCTGGCGCACCTGGGAGAGACCACGAGGGGGGAGGAGGAAGGGAGGGGGGGGGGGGGAGGGGGGAGAGAAGAGAGAGGACGGGGGAGAGGACCCCGCCCAGCGAGTGAGCAATGAATGAGATCCGCCGCAGCTGAGGATTCCTCTTAACCACTTGGCGCACCTGGGCGAGACCGTAAGGGAGAGGGGGGGTGGGGTGGGGAAAAGCGGGGAAGTGGGGAGAAAAAGCAGCCACATTGTGAATGAATTGCATGGACATTGAATGAAAGGATGGCTCAAACCGGCTGAAGAAACAGTCACTGCTGAGAAGAGCGGACGGCAGATGGAAATGCGGAATAATACAAGTTGTAGAATTATGCATCTAAAAGTCCTGGTTAAATGAAATTTGCGGATTCAGGCTGATTCAGAGCCTGACCTCGTCTGCAAGGCGGTTACCAACAACATCGACACCGTCCACTGTTCGCCTCAGTGACTCGCAGCCTGGCATGGCATTCAATGACCCGCATAGATAGATGGTGTGGTTGAATGGCAAGGTCACATGGACTGGTGAAATGGCATGGTTGGATGTGGCTGGCTAAATGGCATGGCTAAACGCCATGTCATGAAACGGTATGGCACAGCATGAGATTGTGTAGCCTAACTAACCGTGATGGGACATGGCATGGCATGTGATAACATGGCATGGCATGACACAGTGACACAGCCAAGAATATGCACTGTTCTTTTATGCAGCGTTGAGCGGAAAAACACGACAAACAAGAAAGAAAGACAGAAAGAAAGTAAAAAAGGCTTTCTGGTATTATCACAACCTATCCATCCGTCCACCATTTAGCCTGGCCACGAACCGAAACGTACTGTGCACGAGAAGGTGGGGATCCCCATGCGCCTCTAGTTGTGCCTTCGTGTACGTCCAATTCATGGGACTGCGTACACGTCAGTCCACGGCAGGCAAAAGGGGTGGGGAGGTAGAGAGACTGATGAGTCTGAACAAAATGCCTTGGTGTAGGTCCAATCCAATTCACGGGACTGAGCAAATGGCATCCACGGCAGGCAGGGATCTAGCGTGGTCAGACTGATGAGTCGGCACCACAAGGTGCCAGGTCATTTCGACTTCAAAGGCCGTCGTGATGGGGACTGGGTGAGAAATATGCTGAGTCTGTTTTTTTAGAATTCTTAAAAAACAGACTGGGTGAGAAATATGAACAAACTCGAACAAAAAAGTAGTCGGACCTTCAAACTCCTCGATCCCGGACAACACGCGAACCACTTTGTAGCGGATTCGCAACAGGTTGTTCAACAGCAAGCGAACCACTTCTTCTCGAAAAATAAAATCTTCCAGCCAACTGTCACGTCTTTCATACCTTCTGGTGCTTCCGTGCCTTCCGGTTTCGGACCTAATATGCATTCCGGAACTTCCGTACCTTCCGGCCACGCCGTTAACGAGAACGACCAGGTGGTCCTTCACCGCACTCCTCCTATCGACCGCTTCTCGCTTTCTCTCGCTCTCATTCCTTCCTTTGGCTCCCTTGGTTCCGTTCGTTCTTTTCGCCGCTTTCGCCGTGCGATGGGCCCACGCGAACGCCGTGTTGCTACCACTTTCCTTCGCCTCGAATCCTCCATTCTGTGGCGGCGCGACGATCCTCGCTTCAGCTCTTGTTCCAGGCAGTGCAGCAGTCATGGCTGACATGAAAAAACTAATACTCTTCTCCCAAAAACTCTCGTCGTTATCCGCTCTCTACTAGCAAAGAAGACAAGCCAGCTCGTGCACGAAATGCATCTTCCATGCTTGTGGATGCTTGTCACTCAAGGGAGGGTAACATTGGGAACTGCATGTCTCTCCTCTCCAGGATTCCCCTCCTCCCCAGCTCCCACCCTCGGGAATCTCCCCGAGTTCTGGAATGCAGCGGCAAGCAGAGTAGCAGCAGCGGTGGCGGAACAGTGTCCTGTCCTGTCCAGGAACGAACTAGGGTGTTTCGCCATGTTGATGACGCTGCAGCAACAGTGGCGGTGCCTCGATACTAGAGGCGCTTTCACTTTGGAATGCGGGTGTACGAGAGACAAATTTGGAAAACAGACACAATAAACAGTATCCCTTTCAAAAAAAGGACCGTAACTATAAATATACTTCACTGAATCCTCGTCTAGTCCATGCTGATACTCACTTGTAAAATGCAATTCGCTTGATTTTTCTTTGCATATACGGTAGTTTGATTTTACCCACGAGTCTACAAACCCACCACCAATTTCTGTAATCCCACATACCGGCCATGTGATGTGAATTCAATCTGCTACTAGTTTACTGTCTTCTGATCAACACGCAGCACCTTCTTTCACAGGCAGCCTTTCCCCAGTATCGGCTTAATTTCGCCATGTTGATATGGTCTTACTGTACCTTACACACATTTCATACATATTCAGATCTGTGTGCCTACCTAATGCATCCAAGCTGCCCCACCATAACACATCATGCCCGAGGGTGTGAGGTAACGGCACACCATTTGTACCATGCATGAACGATGTAAGGGGCATGTTTCTGCATGAGAATAACCACATGACCTAATAATGGCAGGTTCTTTATGGGAATGCCCTTGCATGCACTCTCATGTCCTTGTCACATCAAAGCCCCACCAAACCGGCAGGGTTCATCTGCGGGGATCACAAAAGCAGTAGTCACTGGATTCGCCTTGACTATGACCAGGAGGGCACCGCTGCCTGTGACACAGTCAGTGCCGTAGCTGCAAGAATCTGCTTCCTCTCACTGACTGCTTAAGGATATGTGCACTGGCACGGGACTCCAGTCTCAGTGTGCTTGATCATATACGAGTCTCAGTCTCAGTGAGTGATACGAGTCACTGAAACACACACACTGTTCAATCTGATGGTGAAAATGGCAAGTCACATGACACCAGAAGAACAAAGACGACCAACAAAGACGACCACACTTTTTTTTGTTTGTCTTTGAGCAACATCAAGAGTTTTGCATGCTATCCACTCTAAAAGGCTGATCGCACGGTTGTTGTGATCTCTCACTCGCTGTGATCTCCAGCGTGCTTTGGTTGCCCGTTTGATGTGATCCCTCGATTGCTGTGACATCTCGGTGCTGTGATCCCTCACTTGTGATTCCTCGCTTGCTGATCTAGTGCTTGCTGCTATCTCTTTCTAGCTGCGACCTCTCTCTCTCTCTCTGATCGTTAGCTTGCTGCAGTCTCTCACTTGCAGTGATGTCTCTCTTGTCCTAATCTCTCGCTCACCGTTATGTATCTCTCGCTTGCTGTTATCTCTCGCTTGCTTTAAACTCCCGCTTGTTGTGAACCCCCGTTTGTCCTCTCGTATCCTTGGTGTATCAGCATGTCGTCCATTCGGAGAGGACAGTAGACGTTCAATGGCCTACCTCTACTCGCCGTTGGTCGTTCCTCACCATTCTTTCAGAACGTAATCATGCTGGTAGTAGCTGCTTTCGAGTAGCCATTAAAATCGTCTCCATGGGTCGACGGAGACGTGTGCAAGGGCCCTTCTTTGCGCCGATTATCACCCACGCAAAAAGACTGAACGCAGTAGTCGCGGTGGTGAAAAGGGTTACTTTTACGCGACTTCTGGTCTCGCTAAACATAAGTTTTTCTTGTCGCTCAACTATCACAACTCCGGCCGAGTTTTTGGACCAAGAGTGAGACGCGCTCGCGGCAGTATTCCTAGAATGCTGTTTATGACGCGAGATGATGCAACACGTTTAAGGGCTATTGTGGCGCCTAGAGAACAGCAAAAACAAATCGCCATCAGCTACTACCCACTGCAGCGACGCATGCTTGCGGGTCTTCGTTCGAATCTTCATTGCCGGAAATGTCCTGCTGTTGGGGATTTGATATCCTTGCAACGCGGAAGCACGAATACCACTTGAACAGTTCGGTTAGACTGCGAGAAAAGGAGAGTATGCTTACCAAATGTGAAGGAAAGGAACCTAGCCAATTCCGGCCAGCACGAGTAATTTCAGGATATACACTAAGACATGAGAAACATTCTCTACAGAAAACGTAATGTTGCAAGAGAAACCGACGGCCGTTCGCCAACCGAGGGGCCCGTTCAAGCAGCATTACGAGCAACAACTCACCCGTTACGAGTGTCTGCTACTATTCTATCTGTAAGAGGAAGACGACCCTAGCTGTTAGAACTTACAAGCAGAGCAAGTTTGGAATGGAGAGCACGCCTGGATAAAGTTTCTGGTCTGTATGACCAAATTACAAAGCAAAACAAATCTGGCGTCGCCTTGTTGAGCTCTGAGAGAGACGGAAACTCGAATTGGAAGCAGATGGCTCACATGGAAGAGTGAGGAAGTGAGCAAGGAGATGCCTCACATTGGAAGACGACCCGAAATGTCCTGAATTCCTCTACGTACCAAATTTCCTGGGCTGCTTTGGCAAGCCAGAGGGAGCGAATTCCTCTTCGGGTTTATCCCAAGCCAACCTTGACCCAGGTTCGCGATCAGGTCAACCATTTTGCACCAGCTTTGGGACTTCGGCGAGGTACTCAACAGTTACCCGCCAATATCCACTAACCACAAAAAGGGCCGACGTGGATGGCCTCCTCGTCAGCATGGCCACATGGCGCCAAATGCATTCACAAGCGGTTCGAGTGTACCCAAGATGCAGGCAAGATGCATAACACGTGATCGAAGCTAGACAAGCTGGATGGCTGGATTTCTAGCCCACAGGAGGGGGCAACAAGACGCGCGACTCGCTAGCTCTCGAATTTGGAATTCGTTCCCCTCCAAGACTCCCGCGCGACACCCCCTGACCACTCAAAGATTGGGCCTCACAAACACATCCCCAACCTTGCATCCACAATATATATTGAAGCTCAAATAAACATCCACAACAACAACTGCAGCTCAATTTCCCCTGCACCTCAATTCTCTTTCCGCAGCCGCTACTAACCACAATTTGTTGGAGGTCGCGTGAGTTAGAAGCAAACGGTGGTGGGGCAATTGATATGCCCCCAACCCACCGAATGTGTTTCGGTGCTCACCGCTTGAGAGAGCTGCAGGTTTCACGAAGTGTGTGGGTTGACTTCGGAAGACCCACTCGATTGGTGCCACATGGCAACACAAGATGAATCGAGACTCAGGGAGAATTCGATTCGGTGAAATTCGAGAGTCGGATTTCACCCCTTCGATGTTACTCGAACATTCGAGTGTACCGCGGTTCGAGGTTACATGTGCGATTCGACGTTTTGCAGTTCATATAAATGTGTTTGCTTTTGTATTGCATGATATACTGAAATCCTGAATCTTCTTGTACATGGTCCATTCGAACCAAAATTCCAGAGAGGTCTATCCTTGCTTCTAAGAGCACTAGCAATCACGTGAACGCCAATATCTCGGCGTATACTTGGGCGATTAACGTGTTTGACGGCTTGTTGGAAAGCCAAGACTGTGCTCTATCGTTTAGTGCAACTTAGAGTTCCTGCAAAGTAGAGGAGACGCCTCTACAACAGTGGTATCAGAGCTGGTCGGAGGAGTCTACGCGCGCGATAAGGAGCAAGCATGATGACGTCAAGCGAGGCCTCCCGCACTTCCTTGGATGGTGTCGTTGTAAATACCGGCGAACCCTGGGCAACCGCGACGGTGTTCGACACGTCGGCGGTACCGATTTTCACGGGACAAAATTACTCCGCGTGGAAGTTTAAGTTCCAAGTGCTCATGATGTAGCGGGGACTTTGGGGATTCTTCGATGGAACGGAGAAGAAGCCAGACGACGAGAGCGACATCGCGGCATGGAAGAAGAAGGACCAAAAGGCGTTCGCTACGTTGATTTCGCGCATCGGCATCAATCTCGCGAGCTCGGTGCGCATGTGCATCAAGCTCGAAGCGTCGGCGCATGAAGCGTGGAAGCGGCTCGAGACCATCCACGTGAACAAGACTCTCCACGGCAAGATCCTAGCCCGGAATGCGTTCTACACGGTGAAGATGCGCGCGGGCGAATCGATGCACGAGTATGCGACTCGTGTGGAGGAACTCGGGGAAACGTTCATGGACCTCGGTGGAACGGTCACGGAGGAGGATTGGATTTTGACCTTGCTATGCGGCCTTCCGGAAGAGTGGTCGACGGTGATTACGACACTCGATAGCGTGCAAGGCACTTGGACGAAGGAAATGGTGGTCGGTCGGCTTCTCCATGAGGAATCACGTCGCCGACAATTCGCGAATGAGAGCGAGGGGACCGTCATGTACTCCGGAGGGAGTTCCGGAAAGAAGTCCAAGTGGAGCAAGGGTGCGACGAATGAATCGTCGGGTGGGAGCGAGCATCGCGGCAAGTGTCACTATTGCCGCAAACCGGGACACTTTTGGCGTGAGTGTCGAAAGCGGCCGAGCGATTGGACTCCATCGATGGCGCGGGACCAAGAGGGCAACGCGCACACGGCATCCGGCGAGGCCGATGATTCAAAGGAGTCGCTCGTGTTAGTGGCCGGCAACGGGAACAAAACTCCAAGCGACGCATGGTTCCTCGATACCGGCGCAACGCAGCACATGACGCACTCGGCGTCGCTCCTCAACAACATTGGCGCTCCGGGAGACGTCACGAGCATCGTGTTCGGAAACAACGAATCGCTACCGGTGGTCGGAGTTGGGAGTACGCGCCTCATCGTCGATAGCGGTCCGGTGGACGTGACGAACGTGTTTCACGTCCCGGGGGTGAAGGTGAACCTTCTATCCGTCCCGCAACTTGCGAAGAAGGGAGTGATCGCCACGATCGACGGTGCGAAAATGAACCTCTTTTGGAAGGGGGAGCAATTCGCGCAAGGTGTTCTCAACGGAGATATCTACCAACTCAAGACGTACCCGAGAGCGGCTTCATCCAACGTGGTGCAAGGCTCCAAGGCGACTCTCAAGACGTGGCATAATCGGCTTGCGCACGCCAACTACGACTCGGTCAAGGAGTTGGCCAACAAAGGACTTGCGAAAGGAGTCGACGTGATCGCCGGCGACGACGAGAAGGGCGTGTGCGCGGCGTGTGTCGAAGGAAAGATGGCTCGCAAGCCATTCGGTAGCCGAACGTCACCCCTCGCTAAGGACCCGCTTGCACTTGTTCACATGGACGTGTGTGGACCGATGCGGCATGCATCAAAGGGAGGAGCGCGGTTCCTCTTAGTGATGCTCGACGACGCGACGCGGATGTGTTGGACCCGACTTTTGAAGGCTAAGGGAGATGCGGTCAAGGCGATTCAAGAGTGGGCGCTCGAAGTTTGCGACGATGACAAGAAGCGGATCAAGTGTATTCGCACCGATGGTGGTGGCGAATTCGTGAATGCGGAGCTCGAGAAATGGATGAAGTGCAAGGGCATTAAGCACGACGTCACAACACCCTACACACCCCAACAAAATGGAGCGGCGGAGCGGCTTAATCGCACGTTGGTGGAAGCCGTTCGTTCTCTTCTTCAACACTCCAAGCTTGGGAAAGAGTGGTGGGGCGAGGCGAGTTCGCTAGCGGCGTAGATTCGCAACCGTTTGCCGACGAAGGTGCTCCCGGGAATGACTCCGTTCGAAGCATGGACCGGAACGAAGCCGAACCTATCCCGCCTTCGCACCTTTGGGTGCCTTTGCTACTACCATGTACCGGATCCCCTTCGCCACAAGTTGCAACCGAAGGCTCGTGCGGCGATCTACTTGGGAATTGCGGCGAACGAGCGTGCGTGGCGAGTGTGGGACTTGGACGACAAGCGTGTCGTCACGTCTCGGGACGTGGTCTTCGATGAAGACAAGTTCCCGTCGAAGGAGAAACCCACTCAACAACTCACTTTCATCCTTCCGCCACGAGAGGAGGTTGAAGAGAGTGAGACTCCACCTCAAGTGGAGAAGGAAGCCGATGGAGAGGGAGAGAACAACGAGGAGAGCGTTGATGATGTCGTGGAGGTGTCACCTACCGAGGCGGCAACTACCTCCACACCTTCCTCCCTACCATTGGCCTTGACCCGCGAGCGTCGTGAGGTTCGTCCTCCCTCCAAGTACGCCGACTATGCTACGGTAGCCGTTGGGAAGTTGGATAAGGAGGGGGCGGCATTTTGCTTCGCAACCATGGGTGATGATGAACACATGGATCCTCTCCTGGAACTACCCCCTAAAGATCCGTCCCGTGCATGCTACGAGCATGTTGGATTACACACCTAGTGGGTTGGGTGCAAGGGGGAGTGTTGGAGGTCGCGTGAGTTAGAAGCAAACGGTGGTGGGGCAATTGATATGCCCCCAACCCACCGAATGTGTTTCGGTGCTCACCGCTTGAGAGAGCTGCAGGTTTCACGAAGTGTGTGGGTTGACTTCGGAAGACCCACTCGATTGGTGCCACATGGCAACACAAGATGAATCGAGACTCAGGGAGAATTCGATTCGGTGAAATTCGAGAGTCGAATTTCACCCCTTCGATGTTACTCGAACATTCGAGTGTACCGCGGTTCGAGGTTACATGTGCGATTCGACGTTTTGCAGTTCATATAAATGTGTTTGCTTTTGTATTGCATGATATACTGAAATCCTGAATCTTCTTGTACATGGTCCATTCGAACCAAAATTCCAGAGAGGTCTATCCTTGCTTCGCCTCTTCCTCCCTCGCCGCCAAGGCCCCTGCCGCTGCACTGGCACAGTCAGGGTTGACTGCGTCCTCAAGCTCCGCCCTTCCCAGCTTCTCCGGCCTCCGCGCTTCCGCCTCCGTCAAGGCCTCCAAGAAGACCAGCTGCGCGCGCGGCTGCAAGTGCGCGCGCCATGCCGTCATCGTGCGCGCCGCATCTCAATCTAACGAGGCGTCCGAGCAAGCTCTCTTCGCCAGCGTCAGCCAGTCCGTCGCCGCTCCCGCCGCTCCCGCCAACTCCAGCGTGCTCGTCCCGTCGATTCTCGGCGCCGGTATTGTCGGCGGCGCCGCCCTCGCACTCCTTACCAAGGGCTCCGCTCCCGCCGCTCCCGCTGCTCCAGCCCCGGTGACCTTCGAGGGAGGGTACGTTGCCCGCGCGAAGCGCGCCGCGCCGGCCGCACTGGCAACAATGGCGGCGACATTCCCGAACGCAATGCAGGAGGAGACGTTCATGCACGCCGTGGCGGAGGAGCTGCGCAACTTGGGCTTTAAGCGCGACAACTGCATCGCGCTGGTGAACACGTGCCGCGACGAGGTGTGCCGGCCGATCGTGAACCTGATCGACCGCGAGTTCGGCATGAGCTTCAACATCGCCGGGCTGGGCAGGCTCGTGAACTGCGGCAAGACGGGATTCAAGGCTGCCATGAGCCACTCGCCTGAGTTCCCCTGCGACAAGAGCGGCAAGCCCAAGGAACGATGTAAGTTCCGCGTGTGAATTACCCAGTCTCAATAATAAGAACAATTATAAGATGTAACTAGAAGCAACGAAAACCTTACAGCACACGTCTGCCCTCGTCTTGCTTTTGCATACTTGTTTTACATTCAGATTGTCATCCGATGAACGGTTCTGATTCGCTCTTTCTCTCTCCCCTGTTCCTGTTGTGCCCTCTCCAGACATCTTCTTCGGCTTCCCCCACGTGTCCATTGGCGAGACCGGCGAGGTCGGCTCGCTGCTCCGTCGCGGCCGCGGTAAGCCTGGTAACGCGTGCGGTGCGCTCATCGCCATCCGCGGCGACATTTGCGCTGGCGGTCCCATCGTCGAGGACCCTGACAACGCCGAATACGTGCTGCTTAAGAAGAAGGTGGCGGCCCGAGTTACCACCGACGAGCCTAACTTGGTTCAGGTCACCCGTGCTGCGCTCCAAGCGATCACGGACGACCTCGAGTACCTTATCTCGCAGACCGTCGACCCCGCGACCGCGGATTATGCCGTGATTACCGGCGTGCAAATTCACTCCGGGAACAACCTCCCTGGCGAGCCGTTCCAGACGGAGCGCCTTTGCGACTACATCGCGCCCAACGCCATGTATGCCGTGATTAACGGCGAGAAGCACATTCTCCACTGCGAGATCAACCAGATCAGCGCTATCAAATCGGTCCCTGCCTACAAGTTCGCTTAAAGCCAGGATCTCAAGTACCACAAATGTTTTGCAGTTGATGGTTGGAGCTTGGCTGCGATTGGTCGACGAGGTGCAAGGGGTGCAGCGAGGGGTGCGAAGGAAACTGAACTCGTTTGTGTGTGTCCGAACCTTGTAGGCATGGAGTTTGGTTCGGATCCGAAGCTAGAATGCCACAAATTTGCCGACAGTCTCATGTTTCTGAAATTGTTTTGCATTTGGTGCTGGGGCAAAAGCTTGGGAGTGTCGCACGCCAAACTGCCTAGCCAACCAGTCTACTTAGCATACAGAAACGGGGTAACTGAGCGTCAACTGTTTTGCAATTGATCCCAATTTCTCTTACTTGAGATCCTGGCTTTAAACGGACATCAGCATGAGGGGAGAAATCCGGATTGGATGGATTGCTTGTTGCTAGGCTGAATTCCCTCTTTTTGCACTCAGAATGAGTGGCTTGTGTAAATTGTATCGCTAATAAAAGTAGTTATCCTTATCAATCATTATCCCACTCACCCACATTCCTCTTTCAGCCCTACTGTGTTTCCATATACTCTGGTGTGGCATTTATTTTTTCCTTGCCCATAACGCTTAAAGCGACGGTGCACATTTGCCACCCAAAACCCAGAACCCTGGCGAACTGTTACTGCGGATGGAAAGTTGTCCGCACGAAATCCTGGTTTTCGCCAGCCAGCACTTTCGCGCTGGCAAGCCTGGTTCAAAAAAAAAACTTCTGAACCCAACACTGCCAAAAGTTGCCCGTCGCTTTAATAGGATAGGGTGGTGTCGCTCTGTGGCCAAATCATCCATCCCCTCTGTTTGCATAGCTATCTGGTATCACCTTGGATCCCTCTCTGGGAATTGCTTTCACCACTTGTCATTTAAAACTTATCCATGACGGACTTCACCCTTACACACGTCTCTTCTTGTCCCCTCAGCATTTGAACGCTCTTCCTAACAGAACCTAGCTTTCGTTTAGTCTGGCAGGAACCTTCGTAACTCCAGTTTACTATTGCAAGGAAGACATTATGGGTTGAGGTACATAGTACGGTACCTGGCCATAGCTTTGCCGTCTGTTAGGGATGCTTTTCCAATAAAGCTTCATTAAAGCGCTTGCTAATTTTCCAATCGCAGCACCTACTCTTCGCCTACCCAACATCATCATCCTTCAACTCCCGAGTCCCGACGGAACCCATATCCAACCATTCTCGACTTCCCATTGGATGAGCGTATTTTCTCTCCTTTCGAGATCTCCATGCTTGTGTAGGGTTATCCTCTGCTCTGAAAGAGGTCAAAACGTTTTCTTCCATTCCCGAAAAGAGACATTTTTCTTTACCATTCCATCGAGCATGTTCAGGCACAGACGTGCTACAGCTCTTTTCAAAAGAGGTCTTACGATGTCACGTGAAGCTGACGTGACAATATTGCTGTCGTCACAGATAGGTATGGTTGTGCTAATCCACATTGAAGCATCTGCGAAAACTCTTAGTAGTCAGAAATAATGCACCAAGTTCAAACACATTTCAGATTTGGAGAGAAGCAGATTTTACACGTTACCACATCGGTAGTCTACTCAACTGCAAAGAAAATATATGATATTGACCAGATTCAGTGGTTAGCTGCTAATACTGACCTGTAAGTTGTAGGGGGCTACCTGTTAGGCCTTGAGATTCCCGGGTCTTCCCGAATAGGCTGAGCCACGCTAGGGGGAACAGCTTAATTGGACTCACATCGGGAACCTGTTGAAATGCAGTTAGCACCTTATGAGCGTGCGCTATATGCTAGGTTGGGGATCGTCCGCTTGTAAAAGCGCTTCTTTCTTGCCTCGTGTTAGCGATGAATTAAGGCATATGATGATCCACCTAAAGCTTCGTTGGTCGCCGTGGTTCGTCATCCTCAAGAACTTCCCACGCGTCCCCATCACCTGCATATGAAGAAGGTAATTCGTTTCCACGTAATGCTACATTGAAAATGCGTTCGGATGATTGAAGAATACCTTACAACTACTGTCTCGTGCTGGTTCGGAGCATAACAGCGGAACACCACCGATCTGCAGGCATAATAGTATGACGAAATCGTCTTCTTAGAAAACAATCGCTGTTTACGGTGTCTTGGGAGAAGATAGAAATTGACGGGCGCATATACCAGAGCTCTTCATGCAGAGATGCATGACAAGATTTTTGCCAAGGATGATGCTGCAGCACGAGAAGACGGACTGAAAGCCTGGAACTCCGCCAATTTCAGCAGCACCTGTGTAATGGTAAGAGGGGGGAAATTGGAAACGAAAGCAATCCGCGATGTCCCTACAGAAATTGTAGATTGACGCCTTGAAATTGGGAAATTCCTCTGGGAGGCCCTTTCCCGTGTGAACTGGGCTGGTTTGGTTGGGCAGGGCACCGGAATTCCTCTACGAGCTTATCGTACCAACTTTGGCATTGGCTCGTAACGAAGGTGAGCAGGTTAGCGCCAGCTTCGGTACTCGGCCCTCTTTCGCGCCAATGTCACCACACCACAGATAATACTGACGTGGACCTCACATCGTCAGCACTTGACAGATGGCCCGTCTGAGGCCACCAGCAGATTCACATGCCCTTCGCCCTGGTAAGTTGACTCTTCTACAATCATGCGATGAAGTGTCGAACCCCTGAAAGCTGGATTCCTGGCTGATGGGGGACGAACAAGAAGCGCGACTCGGTGAGTGCCTGACCTGAACCCAAGGTGCGACTCCTCAATTCTGCCGTAGCTTTCACTCACCTCATGTGTTCCTCAACCTGCCCGCTCCCACCAGTTATAAAATGCAACACTGAAGTCAACATTGTTATCCACGTCGTTTCACTCTGCAATCACAACTTCCGTTTCTCACTTCAGCAGCCTTTAGCTGGTAACGACGTTGATCCAAATACTACACGAGCAAAATGGCTGCTGTCACCACTTCTTCCCTCGCCGCCAAGGCCCCTGTCGCCGCACTGTCGCAGTCAGGGTTGACTGCCGCCTCCAGCTCCGCCCTTCCCAGCTTCTCCGGACTCCGGGCCTCTGCTCAAGTCAAGGCCGCCAAGAAGCCCGGCTGCGCTCGCGGCTGCAAGTGCGCGCGCCATGCCGTCGTCGTGCGCGCCGCTGCTGAGTCCAACGAGGCGTCCGAGCAAGCTCTCTTCGCCAGCGTCAGCCAGTCCGTCGCCGCTCCCGCCGCTCCCGCTGCCAACTCCGGCGTGCTCGTCCCATCGATTCTCGGCGCCGGTATTGTCGGCGGCGCGGCTCTCGCGCTTCTCTCCAAGGGGTCCGCTCCCGCAGCTCCCGCTGCTCCCGCCCCGGTGACTTTCGAAGGCGGCTACGTTGCCCGCGCGAAGCGCGCCGCGCCGGCCGCACTGGCAACAATGGCGGCGACGTTCCCGAACGCGATGCAGGAGGAGACATTCATGCACGCCGTGGCAGAGGAGCTGCGCAACTTGGGCTTTAAGCGCGACAACTGCATCGCGCTGGTGAACACGTGCCGCGACGAGGTGTGCCGGCCGATCGTGAACCTGATCGACCGCGAGTTCGGCATGAGCTTCAACATCGCCGGGCTGGGCGGGCTCGTGAACTGCGGCAAGACGGGGTTCAAAGCCGCCATGAGCCACTCGCCTGAGTTCCCCTGCGACAAGAGCGGCAAGCCCAAGGAACGATGTAAGTACCTCGTCGGATTCTCTGCGGCCAAACGTGAAATCTGCTGAACGTTATCAAGAAACGAAGTGAAATAAACAACAACAGTGAAATCTGTTGGGTCATGCGTCGTATCTTTCTGACTCTATCCTTCCTCGTGTTCCCTGTCTTCCCCGTTCAGACATCTTCTTCGGCTTCCCCCACGTGTCCATCGGCGAGACCGGCGAGGTCGGCTCGCTGCTCCGTCGCGGCCGCGGTAAGCCGGGTAACGCGTGCGGTGCGCTCATCGCCATCCGCGGCGACATTTGCGCCGGCGGTCCCATCGTCGAGGACCCTGACAACGCCGAATACGTGCTCCTCAAAAAGAAGGTGGCGGCCCGAATTACCGCCGACGAGCCTAACTTGGTTCAGGTCACCCGCGCTGCGCTCCAAGCGATCACGGACGACCTCGAGTACCTTATCTCGCAGACCGTGGATCCCGCGACCGCGGATTACGCCGTGATTACCGGCGTGCAGATTCACTCCGGAAACAACCTCCCTGGCGAGCCGTTCCAGACGGAGCGCCTTTGCGACTACATCGCGCCCAACGCCATGTACGCCGTGATTAACGGCGAGAAGCACATTCTCCACTGCGAGATCAACCAAATCAGCGCCATCAAATCGGTCCCTGCCTACAAGTTCTCTTAAGCTGACCTCAGCATGAAGGGAGTTATGATTCGTATTCCAGATTGGTTAGGTAGCTTGTTGCTAGGCTGATTTCCCTCTCTTTTTCCACTCAGAATGAGTGGTTGTGTAAATTATATTGCTAATAAATGTGATTATCCTTATGAATCCTGATCCCTCTCTGTTGCTCTGGTGTGGCACCTTTCTTTTCCCTTGCCTATAACGCCTACTAAGATAGGGTGGTGTCGCTCTTTGGCCAAATCATTGATCCCCGACCTATGTTTGCGTCGCCGTATCGTGCATCACCTTGGCTCGTTTTCTGGAAATTGCCTTTACTCACTGTCAGTGAAACTGCTCCATACCGGACTTCACCCTTGCCTTCACTGTTGAAAGCTCTTCCTAACAATAACTAGCTTTCGTCTAGTCTGGCAGTAACATTTCGTACAGCGACCCTCTGTTTCTTTAGTTGAAGTGGCTAGATGTGCGTCATTGTCCACGTAATCCATCTGTCCATCCATCGAAATTGAGGATAGTGCCGCTTCCTTGAGAGCGTAGCAGAATAGAAAAAAAGACTCTACAGACACTCCGCATGTCTGCGCCATGCCACCCTCGATGCGCAAAACTCTCTGCAACGTGGGAGCGGGAAACGGAAAGAACACGAATCTCGAGACCCTTGAAGGTCCCTGCACTGACGAATAGGTGGGAGGTGGAACAGGTTAGGCAAGCTCCATCAATTTCATCCATCACTACGGGAAAGAGCGAGCGAGCCCCTTAGCGAACCAGCAGGATTACAGTTTGCCTGAGAGGGGTGTGGAAATGGGCGGGGTAGCATGATCTCTCGTGCTATGGCAGGGAAGCACGGGCCATGTAGCAGTTGGCATTTGACCATCGATGAGAAGTGTGTGTTTCTTTTTAGGATTGTGTACCATTCGGATTTCAGTGTAGTAGACAATAATAACGGTCAACTTCAGAAACAGACCCATCGTACGGATTTACTAACCTGCTTGAGGAACCCCAAACAGCAAGCATCCATGATCCATCTTTATGCCAGTTGGGTAATCGAGTGGAGGGAGCTAATGTCGCCTGCTGTACTGTGCTTGCCACCTAAGTCTACACCATTTGCTGGTACTAATTCCAGTGCTAAGCACATTTCTGTCAGTGAATGAAGCCTAGAGAGAGAGAGAGAGCACACGTCGAGAAACCTAGCATTGCAGTGCAAGAGACCCAAGTTTAGAACCTCTCGCCAAACCGGACAAACCAGGAGCCAGTACCCATGTTGCAATCCCGAGCGTACTCCGCACGCACGGTGCCGAGCCTGACACCGGCACCCACCGAGGCTCCGAAGCCGGCTCGGCGGAAGAACTCGGTAGGGTTACCAGAAACCATACCGGAGCTGCCCAGGTCGGAGGCCATCTCAGCAAAGGCGTAGGCATGGGTGGTCTTGACTGGGACCCTGATCTCACCCGCAAGCTGAAAGGGTTGATGAAGGCATGGGGGCAGAGACGACACGTATGAGGAAAACGTTACGGGTTATCGGGAGGCATAGGTGTGAAGCAGATGGCACAGGCATTGCATGGAGAAGATCAGGAAGCTGAGAGGCGGGGCGGGACGAGCACCCCAAGCACCGTCTCAGGCAGCACGTGAGGCACGTCAAAACCACCATATACCACACCCAGCCACGCACCTCAAGGAAGCGCCTGGCAGCACCAATCTCGCCCATGTTGTACCCGCGGACCGAATAAGGCCCGCCCAGCGCATACGCTTCATATGACGGCAGGTCGCCCAGGCACCCTCCGTAGCGCGCGTGCAGCACCCCCACCATGGGCGGGCGGTCCACTCGGTCCACGTCCTCCTCACTGAGCTGCATGAACCGCGTGTGCGTCAGCTGATGGCGGTTGAAGAATGGGAAGGCCGACCCGATGCCCAGGCCTTGGTCCACCTGTGGTGTGGAGTGGGAGGAAGAGGGGGGGATAAAGAGTTAAAACACATCAAACAGACATCAGAAGCGCCAGATAAGGAGTCAAGGTGAGGTCAAGGCGGTGAAGGAAGTCAAGAGGGCGGTCCACTCGGTCCACGTCCTCCTTGCTCAGCTGCATGAAGCACGTGTGTGTGACCTGATGGCGGTTGAAGAAGGGGAAGGCCGACCCGATGCCCAGACCCTGGTCCACCTGTGGGGTGAAAGGATAGGAAGAGGGGGGAAATTGGGGGTTGAAACACATCGAACCGACACCGGCAGTGGCAGCTAAGGAGGGGTCAAGGCAGTGAAGGAGCGTGGTGGGCGTGGTGGGCGGGCGGCATACAGCACCTTATAAAAAAAGCCTACCTCTTGCAGGCCTCTTTACCTGGAAGATGGTATGGTCGCCAACAGGCGTGCCATTGACAAAGTTGGTGTTGTCACCCTTGACATTGGCTTGCAGGAACGCCACACGATCCCCACCTGTGCCACTGAGCGTGGTGGGCAGGCCCTCGGAGGCAGCACCTCACGACCTGTGTCTGCTTCCCAGCCTTCTTACCTGGAAGATGGTACGGTCGCCAACAGGCGTGCCATTGACAAAGTTGGTGTTGTCGCGTGTGACGTTCGCTTGAAGGAACGCCACGCGGTCGACACCCGTGCCGCTGAGCGTGGTGGGCGGGCCGTCGGGCGTGGGCAGGCCCGAGGGCAGCATCTTGAACCCGTGTGTGCAGATGCTCGTGTTCTCATCGCGGGTCGTCACCTCCTCTATCACCGCGCCATAGGTAATGCGGCTCTGACGGGTGAAGTTCTGTGACGAGTGGATAGGGATGGGAGCAAGAAGAGCGAGCAAGGGAAAGGGGCGGTGAGAGAGGTGAGGGAGAAATAAGCTGATATATGAGCCGCCTGAAAGGCCGTCGGGCGTGGGCAGGCCCGAGGGCAGCATCTTGAAGCCGTGTGTGCAGATGCTCGTGTTCTCATCGCGGGTTGTCACCTCCTCTATCACCGCCCCGTACGTGATGCGGCTCTGACGGGTGAAGTTCTGTGAGGAGTGAATGGGGACAGGGGAAGGGGAAGGGGAGGTGGGAAAGGTGAGAAAGGTGAGGCCATGGGTCACTGCTCTAAAGCGTTGTCACCACCTCTATCACCGCCCATACGTGATACGGCTCTGACGGGTGAAGTTCTGTGAGAAGCAGAAGGGACGGTGAGGAATGGGCAATGGAGGGGGAAGGAGAGGTGAGGAAGGTGGGGAAGCTGAGGAGACCAAGAGCATTGTCACCTCCTCTATCACCGCCCCGTACGTGATGCGGCTCTGACGGGTGAAGTTCTGTGAGAAGCAGAAGGGACGGTGAGGAATGGGCAATGGAGGGGGAAGGAGAGGTGAGGAAGGTGGGGAAGCTGAGGAGACCAAGAGCATTGTCACCTCCTCTATCACCGCCCCGTACGTGATGCGGCTCTGACGGGTGAAGTTCTGTGAGAAGCAGAAGGGACGGTGAGGAATGGGCAATGGAGGGGGAAGGAGAGGTGAGGAAGGTGGGGAAGCTGAGGAGACCAAGAGCATTGTCACCTCCTCTATCACCGCCCCGTACGTGATGCGGCTCTGACGGGTGAAGTTCTGTGAGAAGCAGAAGGGACGGTGAGGAATGGGCAATGGAGGGGGAAGGAGAGGTGAGGAAGGTGGGAAAGCTGAGGAGACCAAGAGCATTGTCACCTCCTCTATCACCGCCCCGTACGTGATGCGGCTCTGACGGGTGAAATTCTGTGCGGAGTGGATGGGGATAGGGGAAGGGGAAGGGAGGTGGGAAAGGTGAGGAATGCAAGGCAATCGCTGTTCTAAAGCATTGTCTGTTCTGTGAGGAGTGGCTGGGGGTGCGAGCAAGGGAAAGGGACAGTGAAGGTGGTGAGGGAGAGGTAAGATAATTTCTTCCCTCGTTCCACGTTCCCAGAAACCCCCCCTATCCCACTGCACCGCATCTCACCTCACTAACAGTGGCCTTGATGCCGGCACGGTCCACCCAGATGGCCGGCACCTCATCCAGCGACGGCCCGCCTGTGAAGACCGCTGACACCTTGCAGTGGTTGAATGAGACACGTCACCCTTGCTTGCTTCCTTGCCTCATCTTCACATCTTTGCACCGTTTATTACCATTCTTAGCCCATTTTCTTGCCGCTTTAAATCATGTCTCAACCCTTTCCACCTTCTGTTACCCACCCTGTCCCTCCATAGAAACGCACCTCGCTGACGGTGGCCTTGATGCCGGCACGGTCCACCCAGATGGCCGGCACCTCATCCAGCGACGGCCCGCCTGTGAAGACAGCCGACACCTTGCGGTGGTTGAAGCACGTCACCCGCCCCACGCGGTTGCGACCCGTGTCGTCCACGCCATCAATGTACGGATGCACATACTCGAGCTTGAACACCAGATCGTCCTGTGACGAGGGCGGAGGAGGGGAAGTTAGGAGGGGGCGTAGATAGGGTGAGAGAGTGGGTACGGCTGTCAAATCCGTGACTCGTGTCGTCCACCCCGTCGATGTACGGATGCACATACTCGAGCTTGAACACCAGATCGTCCTGTGGAGAAGTGAGGGAAGATAACATGATAGCAGGGTCAGGAGGGTCAGGAGGGTCAGGAGGGTCAGGAGGTTCTGAAAAAAAGAACTCTCGACGACACTCAAAGGAACTGATTGTGCGACATACGTACCATCCATGCACGGATGCAATGTGCATCTACTGGAGCTTTTGAGTCGCCTCAAAAGGCGCCTCAGAAGACGTACGTACCATCGATGCACCGATGCAATGTATGGTTCATACGTACCTACTGGAGCTTAGAGCACCAGTTCGTGGTGACACGGGCTCGTATCAACAACGCTCTCAGAATGGAATGGCGATCTGAAGGAGGCAGTGCCTGGTAACCACCGTAAACATAGCATGAATGTACATGTATGGTATATTGAAATATCTATACGCTTCAAGCATCACTCTTGCAGTACCTGCGGCGAGAGCAGGTTGCCGGCGCTGACGGAGCCGGTGACAGAGCGATTGAGGCCGTTGATGTTGCGGTGCTCGAATGACACGCTGCCACCTGGCAGGATGGACACCTGGCATAGGGGGGACAGCAGGTGAAGTGGAGATGGGAGCGACAGCGGTGTGATTGAGAGAGGATTGCCAGGAGGAGGAGAACGAAAGGGGAAGAATTGCCAAGGGAGGTGGGGACCTGGACCTCTCAACTGCACCATCTCTGTACCCCCGTGCCAACACCACACCACACAGCCCCACCCCACATGCCTGCACTCCAGCTCGCCGGGGCCTTGGCGATGTCACCCACGTGGATGCTCTCAACGGCACCATCTCTGTACCTCAGCCGCTCAGCGGACGTGGGCTCCAGCTTGCCAACCCTCAGCTTGCCAACCCTCAGCTTGCCAACCCTCAGCTTGCCAACCCTCAGCTTGCCAACCCTCAGCTTGCCAACCCTCAGCTTGCCAACCCTCAGCTTGCCAACCCTCAGCTTGCCAACCCTCAGCTTGCCAACCCTCAGCTTGCCAACCCTCAGCTTGCCAACCCTCAGCTTGCCAACCTTCACATCCATCACCATGAGCGCCATTGACAGACACGCCCCCAACACAGCACATCCCACCCACACCCACCCCTCCATTCCACTCACCGTGGGCTTGCCGGTGTCCCCAGGCTGGATGCTCCACTCGGTCTGCACCTCAGCGGACGTGGGCTCCTGCTCGCGGACCTTCACCTCCATCACAATGCCGCCCTCGAGCTGGTCGTCGGGGCGAGGGTTGACCTCCATGTTGGCGAACAGCTGCAGCGATGAGATGCTCTGCAGCGCCTTGCGCCCCGCCTCGATGTTGAACACGTTGCCCGGCTTGATCTGCGGTGGGGGAGAGGTGGGGGAACGGGCGGGCGAAGGGGTGGGAGGACAGATACGGGCTGTTTGCTGCGAGCGGGGGATGGAGCTGCTCTGCAGCGCCTTGCGCCCCGCCTCTATGTTGAACACGTTGCCCGGCTTGATCTGCAGTGGAGGGGACAAGGGGGAGTGATGAAGGGAAGGGTGGAGGATGCTTGATGTGAGTGGGGGATGGGAGATGCTCTGTAGGGCCTTGCGCCCCGCCTCGATGTTGAACACGTTGCCCGGCTTGATCTATTTGAAGGGGAAGGGTGAGGTGGGGGGAAAAGGAGGAAAAGGAGGAAAAGGAAGAAGTGGAGGAAAAGGAAGAAGTGGAGGAAAAGGAAGAAGTGGAGGAAAAGGAAGAAGTGGAGGAAAAGGAAGAAGTGGAGGAAAAGGAAGAAGTGGAGGAAAAGAAAGAAGTGGAGGAAAAGGAAGAAGTGGAGGAAAAGGAAGAAGTGGAGGAAAAGGAAGAAGTGGTTGGTGATTTTTCTAGAATTCTCAAAAGTGATAGCAACTGGGCTTGGTTTACATGTGTAACACAGCGGCCCCTCATTTCCCCCCCTCACCCTATCCATCCTTTCCCAGTTCTTTCCCCCACCTTCCCCATTCTTCCGCCTCCCCCCTCACCTCGATAGGCAGCTCTCGCATCACAACACGCTCGTCGGTAATCCCTTCGCAGCGCTGCCCCATCTTGTCCAGAAACTGCACCTCCACACCCGTCACGTCGCCCTCCACCACCTCGCACACGATATCGGGCGTGTTCAGGTTGCCAAAGTTGATCACCTGAAGCGGGGGAGAAATAATGGAAAGGAAGGCATGCGGAAGCAGTGGAAGGAGGGGGGGAGATGAAGGGGGGTTGGCACAGCCCCTCCACGCCCGTGATGTCTCCCTCCACCACCTCGCACACGATGTCGGGCGTGTTCAGGTTGCCGAAATTGATCACCTGAAGAGGGGGTGGGCGGAAAGGAAAGGCAGGGGAAAGGGACGAGGGGAAGGAGGGGGAAGGGTAAGTTAGCACCTCCACGCCCGTCACATCGCCCTCCACCACCTCGCACACGATGTCAGGTGTGTTCAGGTTGCCAAAGTTGATCACCTGTAAGCATGCGTATGTAAGGGAAGAGGGTATTACTTGAGAATGCAATCTCTGATCTTTGGCAGCATGCTGCAATGTCACTCAACCACATACTGACCATCCACCCACCCACCCACCATGCACCTCCCCCCAAGAAGGCACTCACATTGGCGCACGTGTAGCCCTTGTCGTGGTACCACTTGAGAATACGATCTCGGATCTTCTGCAGCATGCGAGCAGTGAGGCGGCCCTCGCGCTGCACCATGGCGCTCAGCTCGTTCTCCACCTTGCGTGGCAGCAGGCACTGCCTCGCCTGCCTCAGCCATTTGAAAGTCACTTTTAGGAATTCCTTTGCGAATTCTTTTGAGGATTTCCAAGAGCACGCCCTGCCGCGCCTGCCTCAGCCGTTCCACTTGGTTGCTGACTCGCCTGAAAAAACCCACCCACTCACCACCCTCCCACACACACATCACCATCCCTTCGCCCCCACCAACACACCCAAGAGCCACTCACATTGGCACAAGCATAGCCCTTGTCATGATACCACTTGAGGATACGATCTCGGATCTTCTGCAGCATGCGCGCAGTGAGGCGGCCCTCGCGCTGCACCATGGCGCTCAGCTCGTTCTCCACCTTGCGTGGCAGCAGGCACTGCCGCGCCTGCCTCAGTCGCTCCGCGTACGCCGCCTCCTGCTTCGCCGCGTCCTCCGATGCCTCCTGCCCCGCCGCGTCCGGCTGCACGAGCCCCATGTTCACACACCGTACAGTCTTCGCCGCCTGCCACTGCGCCTCCAGCACCTTCACCTCCAGCTGCAACACGCATATGGAATGAGTGGTGGTTGGGTGGGGGGAACGGGGGGCGGGGACGGGGGGAACAGGGTGTGGGGAGGTGGCGGCAGGGGCAGGGAAAGGCAGGAGTGAGCCACAGCCGTTCCACGCCTGCAGCGTCCGGTTGCACGAGCCCGATGATGACACACCGCACCGTCTTCGCCGCCTGCCACTGCGCCTCCAGCACCTTCACCTCCAGCTGTGGGCCATGCATGGAACGCAGGGTTGTGGGGGAAAACGGGGAGTGCGGGTTGTGGGGGGGTGGGGCATGGGGGAAACGGGGTGCGGGGAAGGTGGTGGAAGGGGCGAAATCTGGAACGCTTGTTCGCCGCCTCCGCCTCTCAAAATCCATCCTACCGCATCCCCAGAATAAGCACGACCCGACTCGTTAAGAAACCCCCGTTTCGTTATAAGCACCTTAATAGACCCGTCTGGGTTGGCGACAGTGTGGGCCTCGACCATCTGGAACATGCCGCTGGACGCCATGTTGGCCACCTCCGCCTCTCAGACCCACCCCACCTCATCCCCATTTTAAGCAAGACTCGACTCGTTATATCCTCTGCTTCTCTACACGAACCTTAATCGATCTATCTGGGTTGGCGACGGTATCGGCCTCCACCATCTGGAACATGCCGCTGGACGCCATGTTCGCTCGCCACCTCCGCCTCTCGACCTCCAACTCACCTCATCCAAACCCCGTTTTAAGCGAGTCCGCTTCGCTACAAGCAAGTACCTTAATTGATCCATCTGGGTTGGCGACAGTGTCGGCCTCCACCATCTGGAACATGCCGCTGGACGCCATGTTCGCCACCTCGGCTTCGAGCTGCGCACGCGTGCACACGGTGCCCTTGCCCACCGACACCATCTCGTAGAATCCGTCCGCCTTGGGAATCACGCGGTCGCTGCGCTGGTCAACCAAGTCAACTTCCGCCACGCGATACCGCTTCGTCGTGCTCAGCTTGTCCACCGCCACGCGCGTGCCCGCCTGGGGAGTGGGGGGGGAGGGGGAGGGGGACGGGGAGGGGAAGGGGAGGGCGGAGGGCGAGAAGTAGGGAGGGAGGGAGGAAGATATTGAGGCAAGAAGGGCTTCGTCGTGCTCAGCTCCTCTCTGTGTTCCGCGTGTGCGCTGGCACGCACGCGCAGCCTGGGGTGAGGGGGATGCGGGGGACACGCGGAGTTCTCAAACCCCTCTTGTCCGCTGGCTCCGCTGCACGCACGCGCAGCCTTGGGTGAGGGGAATGCGGGGGTCGGGGACTTTGGTATGCGGTGCGGGGCGTGGGGAAGGAGCGTGGAGAGTGGAACGAGGAGAGAAGGGAGTGTGGAGTGAGGGGCGGCATTGCGCTATGATTGAGGCGACATGACTAGTGAGTCGAGTCGATAGTCGCAATGCGGAGTGGGGACGGCACTGGGGTATGTTCGCAGGCAAGAATGTTTTCGAATGCCCTTGGGATTTGTTTGTTTGTTTGTTTGTTTGTTTGTTTGTTTGTTTTTTTTGTCATCTCCTCGCGCAACTTATTCCGCTGACTAAGACGAGGCGCGCTCCAGTCGGTGCTCACACGCATGCCGTGTGCCGACTCATTCGATTCTCACCCGCTAATGATACGGGCTGAACCCAGTCTCACCCGCATGCCGTGAGGGTCGAACTCCTCCGCTTTAACCGCCGCAGCCGCCGCTTTCTTCTCCTTCTCCTTCTTCGCCTTCTCCTCCGCCTCCTTCTTTCCCGCCGCCTCCTTCGCCTTCGCATCGCCCTCCTCCTCTTCCTCCTCCTCCTCCTCGTCCTCCTCCTCCTCATCCGACTCCTCCTCGTCGCTGCTCTCCTCGTCCTCCGATTCCGACTCCTCGTCATCCTCCGCCGCTACAGCCGCGTCCCACTCCCACCAATTCCGCTTCCCCCCGCCTCGCCCCTTCCCCCCTCCGCCACCCCCTCCTCCGCCTCCCCCACCGCCGCTACCGCCTCCCCCCCCACCTCCTCCCCCTCCTAAAATGCTGTTAAAAATCTCAAGACCATCTTGACGCATTAAGACGCAGCCAATGCCGCTGCCGGCTGCTAGGCCGGCGCCGGTTAAAGCGGCTTTCCTGATCCATCCGGAGTCTCCGGAGGAGACTGATCGGCTCCGGTTATGGCTGCTGTTGCTGCTGAGAGCGACGATCTGAATGGGTCGCCGTCTGGAGGAGGAGTGTGAGGCGGTGAGGTGTGGCGGAGGAGCGTGGAGAGCTGCTGGTTGGGAGCGATCGCCGGATGTGGTCGCCGGGGATTGTGTTGCGACGAGCGATCTGATCGGGAGTGGAGTGCGGGGTGAAACGCAAGGGGGAAGAATGAGATGAAGGGACAGGTGAGCTTAGAGCTATCAGACGTTGAAGCTGAGGAGCTCGCCTATGTTGATAGAATGTCGGCGCTTATGTTGAATAGTACACTAATACGATGAAGAGAAAGAGAACAAAAAAAACGTCTTAGATTGTTTGTGACTCTACCTAAAGGCGAAACACTTAGCGAGACAGAACGAAGATCGAACGTACCACACCACGAGATTTTAAGACTAAGTACGTACTTGACACTCGCATAACTAGCAGCGACGGTGCTAGCTGCTGTCGTCATTGTCCTCTTGGGCAGTTTGGGACTCCGGTTTTAAGAAATCTCGTATAATATGCAGTCAGATTAGAGAGAGCGAGAGGACGAATATATTCGATCCAGGCTCTGCTGGATTAGGGTTCCACTCGCAAGAGATGCCGTGAAGTTAGCAAAAGTAGTGACAATGGCGGCCAGGCTACCTCTGATCGTCCGCTTGATCAGGCTCCTGACCAGAAAGGAGGGAAATCAGGGAGGGTGGGGGAAGTGATGTGCTCTACCATTCGAAGGCAGAGAGGGAGGAGCGGAGGAGATGCCATGCAACGGATAGGATCAAGGTAGCAGACGATTATTGGCGAACGTGGTAACCAGTCCCCGAGGCTGGCTGATGGGGGGTGTGGTGCTGGCGAAATGTCCGCCTGGGTTTTGGGCGGGTTTGCCCTAGAGATTGACTCAAATTTTCGGAGCTTGTCGTGCTGCCACCTGGCCAATGTTGCCAACTGGAAACTCAATACACTGGCCACTTCAATAACATGTGATGAAAAATGTGTTGATGACATGTGATGAATCCTACCTAAAATTAACCAAAATATCTTGAACAGTGCAAGTCAGTCTATAGACCACAATAAATTACATCACTAGGAACCTAAAATAAAAATCCTGTCCCCACTCTAAAATCACATTTTTGATTCAAATCATGTACCAACCACTAATTTTAGCGAAGATCTTGTATTCTCGTTCGATGCAAGCGACGTTGCATTCGAGCGTGTGTATGCTGGCTAACAAAGAGCGAGTTTATTGGGGAAGACAGCAGGCTTCTCCTCTTCAAGTCAAGGCAGTACGGCAGATCCATTCCCGATGACTGGTCACTCCCATCACTGCTCTTCACTGCTTCATACCACTCATGCACCAAGCAGCCTCCGGTTCCAGCCACATCCCCATCTGAACCTTTTACTGGAGGACACTGTAACGAGGATGGCTCTGTAGTCACCGCATTCCTCTCCTGCAATGGACTGACGAGACGGGCTGTTGTCGCTTCCGTTGAAATTGCCTTGTTTGTCCCTACGAGCACACTTTCTGCTACAGCCCTTACCCCTGCTCGTGCGGCTGGTGATGCTACAACTGGTGCGGCTGGTGCTGCTAGTGCTACGACTGGTGCTGCCAGTGCACCTGCAGCAGCAACGCCCTGCTGACTAGCTTCTGCTTCACGCATGAACCTGGTGGAGCCAGGTAGTGCCTTGTGCCCCCTGAAACCTCTCCTTTGACCCGGCTCTGAACTCGGTCTACGACCCTTGCACATGCTACCACGAGCAGCTCTCACTGCATACTGGCTCATTGGAAAGGTGCTGCTGCCGCCTCTCCGCCATACACCACATTGTTCACCACCTCTAGCCCCCACACCAGCATGACTGCTGCCTTGTTTCACCCACGTGCCAGCCTGGCTGTCAGACATGCAGCAGCTGCTGTTGCGGTACTGGTGGGGGAAGGGGTTGGTTAGAGGAGTGGGGACGCGTGCTGCTTGCTTTGAAGACGCACGCAGCCACTCGTACATCGCCACCTGGCGCACCACCTCGTAGTCCGACTCCTCATCCTCACTGTTGAGTTCCCCAGTTTCTCTATCATAGTCCATCCCACCCAATAGCGCCCGCTGCTGTACTTTTCTATAGCGAGTCTGCCCACCAGTGCTCCACCTCCTCCTGCCGTTCTCTACTCCCTCCACAAGCTCTGCAGGCAAGGGAGCAGCAAGCAGGTCATTCACATTGCGCCTTTCACCCTGCACCGAGTCCTGCATGTGCCGTTCTACCCCCACCTGGGCCTGCACGTGTGTAGGAGCCCACTCCACCTCCTCCACAGAGCGTGCCAGAAGAAGGTGGCTTCTTGTTTGTTCCTGTCCCCACTGTTGCTGCTCCAGCTGCTCCGGCCACTGCTGCGGCTGCTGTTCCCAATGCAGCTGCTCCCGCTGTTGCTTCTGCTGCTGACGTTGCGCCCACTGCTGCACCTGCTGCTGCCCCCACTCCCACTGCTGCTGCTGCTGTTCCTCCTGCTGATGCTGCTGTTTCCATGCCACTTCACCACCAGCAGAAGCAGAACAATCACGGGGAACCAGCCATGGGTCGGCCCATGAACTCTTGTCTATGCCACCAGATGTACGGGTAGAGTCAGCACAGGATGCAGTCTGGCAGCCACACCCGCACGCTGACTTTTGAGTCGACTCAAAATTCAGCGTGTCGCCCGCGTCAGAGCCACCACACCCACAGGTGCTAACAGCACAGGACGCCAAGTGGCATCCACGCCCGAGCCCACAGCGATGGATTCTCTCACAGTGGTCGTGTGGCCTGCAGCAGCCACTCCTGTACGCGTTATTGTCACAGGTGTAACATTCGTTACATTCACACTTGAGGGGATTATAGATGCCACCACAGCTGCAGCCCCCTCCACAGTCACACGAGCTGTTGCAGTCACGGTTGGAGTGACGGGCTGGTCTACCACCATCCACCCTGCCATTTGCTTGAAACGGGCATCTGCTGCTGACGTGGCAGCCGTTGCTGACATGGCATCCGCTCCTGACATAGCATCTGCTGGTGATGCATCCGTTTTTGTGGGCTCGACTAGTGTTGCTCCCATAGCAGCTGCATTGCCAGCTGTCCCTGCTTCTACCAGAGGCCAAGGCACATGCCACGTGTCCATATTGACTGACAGCTTCAACACCACGTGTACATGCCACGTCAGCGCCCCTGCAGTTTCTCCTGTGGAGCAAACAGTCTCGAGGGAGAGTGATCTCGTGAACTGAAGAGTTTCCTGGAAGGCTTGTCTTGATGCACGTTGCTCCTGCCGCCCCTGCCGCCCCTGCCACCCCTGCCGCCCCTGCCGTCCCTGCTCCACCTGCTGCTCCTACCGCTTTGGCTGCTTCGGCTGAGGGGTGGCAGGGGTGTGAGTGGCGCATGCCGTGAGTCCGTGTGCCCACCACGCAGTGGCCCTGCTCACACGCACGGCACTTCTGAGAATCCTCACAGCCACCCTGGGAGTGCATGCAATGGCTCGGCTCACAGGCACCCTCACAGGCACCCTCACAGGCTCTCCTCAGGAGGACGCCCACCCGCTCCAGCATGCCGCCCAACGCCGCTCCTCTTGCCTCATGCGCCCCGCTTCCCACCTCGCCCCTTTCGCACAATACGGCACCATGAATGAACTGCTCTGATTCTGCACCCGCCTCCCATTTCTCACACTTCTCTCCTTCCGTCAAACCCTTCCCTTTGCTCCACACCTCTCCTTCGCCCCCTTGTGCCCTTCCATCTCCTTCTCTCCACTCCTCTACCATCCACCCTTCGTTTTCAGGGCACCATTCTTCACTCCCAGGGCACTCACTTTCCAAATACCCCTCTTTATCTGTATTTTCTTCGCATTCTGTAAGCCCCTCAAAACCTCGTTCGATTTCAAGCCATTCTCCTTCCAAATAACCCTCTCTTTCTGAATACCCCTCTCCGTCTGAATACCCCTCTCCGTCTGAATACCCCTCTCCTTCTGAATACCCATCTCCTTCCAAATACCCCTCTCCTTCCGAATACCCCTCTCCTTCTGAATACCCCTCTCCTTCCAAATACCCCTCTCCTTCCGAATACCTCTTGTCCTCAGCATTTCCCCCTCCTTCCGAAAGTTCTTCCTCTTTCCTAAAACTATCTCCATCACTAAACCCCTCCTCGTCTGTATACTCCTCCTCCTCCTCCTCAGACAACATTGTACGAGGTGACTTTTGAGTCGACTGAAAAGTCACCTCCTCGTCTGTAGACTCCTCTTCCTTGGACAGCATTTTTCTTTCGACCCAGCCTCTTTCGGTCCGGAGCCAAACTCCTACCCAATGCGTCTCCCCGTCTGAACACCCATCCCCCTCCATGCATCCCTCTCCTTCTGAAATCCCCTCATCATTCTCTTCTACAAAAATCTCTCCTTCTGCAAAATCCTCTCCTTTACACCCCTCTCCTTCACACCCCTCTCCTTCACACCCCTCTCCTTCTGCATAACCCTCTCCTTCACACCCCTCTCCTTCACACCCCTCTCCTTCTGCATAACCCTCTCCTTCACACCCCTCTCCTTCACACCCCTCTCCTTCACACCCCTCTCCTTCTGCATAACCCTCTCCTTCACACCCCTCTCCTTCTGCATAACCCTCTCCTTCACACCCCTCTCCTTCTGCATAACCCTCTCCTTCACACCCCTGTCCTTCACACCCCTCTCCTTCTGCATAACCCTCTCCTTCACACCCCTCTCCTTCTGCATAACCCTCTCCTTCACCATACCCCTGTCCTTCTGCAAAACTCTCCCCTTCTGAAAATCCCTCCTCTTCAGTCAGTCCCGTGTCTTCCCCCGCCCCTCCGTTCCAACTCCCCATGCGATTCAAGCCATCACTCCAGCCCCACGTCTGGGCCAAACCAGCACCTTCACACCCCACTCCGCAGCCACCACTCCAGCCCGCCCCAGAGGCATCTCCGTAGGAATCTTCACACCCTACGCCACAGCCACCCCCACAGCCATTTCCATGGCCATCACCATGCCTGCCCTGCACTTGCCTAAGCACAGGACGAGCAGCCGTGGGCCCTTTGGCTCGTGAACAAACTGCATGGCAAGCAGCCTTGTGTGAGCCGGTGAGCCCGGGGGAATGCCTGGCAGCCTTCTTGTGCTCTTTCTCTCCCTCCTTCAGCTTATGCAGCTGGAGCAATGCTCGCAGTGCTTTCGGTGTCCCCAATGCCCGCAGCTTCTGCAACTCCAGCGTTGACTGGGTTGCCTGCTTCGTTGGCACGCCAGCCATCTCCTTTAGTTCCCGCAGCTTCCGCAGAAGCTTCCGAACCCTCTCAGACATGACGTCACCCCCTGCCACGGCCTCACCAGCTGTAGCATGACCTGCCACAGCCTCACCAGCTGTAGCACAACTTGTCTCCGAGTGCCTATCCCGCGCCTTCCCCACCTCCCCACTCCGCACCAGATTCAACACATTCTTATCCCCTGCCACCTGCAGCAGCTCCTGTCTCTGTGTCAGCTGCGCCACCCCCTTCGCCGCCCCTACCTGCAGCAGCTCCTGAATCCTCGCCAGATTCGCCTGCATGCCAGCACCAGCCGCCACAGGCTGGTCGCTGAGAGGCACGCCAAACCGTTCCAGCCGTGCCTTGACCTTGTGCAGCTGAATTTTAATGGAGCCAGGATCCAGCGCACAAGGGATGGGAGACAACACTTGGAGTGTTGATGATGATGATGTGTCCGAACCGTGCTCTGACGTGTCAAATCCACGCTCTGACGTGTCCAGGCTGTACCCCACCCTGCTGCTGCTGCCGCTGCTACAACCGGTAGAGTGCTTCCAGCTGTAGCCAGGGCAGGTGCCCTTGTAGTCTCTCCTGCTACAGCTGCTACTGCTACAGCCACTACGGCTGCTACAGCTGCTGCAGCTGCTACAACTACTCACAGTGTTGCATCGTAGCGTGTCAGTGCTACAGCTGCTGGTGCAACTGCTGCCAGTGCTGCACCGTGTTGCATTGTGCCCGCTGCTGTGACCTTGCTGGGCCCACCGATGCCTCGCCATCTCCTCGTTATTGATGCGCCTGCCCCTGCTGCGGCCCCCTGTGCTGTGGCTACCTGTGGTGCGGCTCCTGAACCGCTTCCGCCATTCTGAATCATGCTTCTGCTGCTGCTGCTTCTGCTTCTGCTGCTCCGTCTGCTGCTCCGTCTGCTGCTCCGTCTGCTGCTCCGTCTGCTGCCTCTTTGTCAGCAGCTCTCTCACTGCTTCGTGCTGTTCCTTCTGCTCTCTCTCTTCCTGATGCTGCTGCTGCTGCTGCTGCCACCGCTGCTTTTGCTGCGGCTGCTCCTTTGGCTCATCTTCCCACCCATTCCTTCCGTCCTCACATCCATCTCCTGTCTCGCACACCTCCCACTCTCCTCCCCCTTTCCACCCATACTCTCCCTCTTCCCATCTAACCTCTCCTTCCTCCCATCCATCATCTCGTTCCTCCTCCTCGTCCTCTCCTTCTTCCCACCCATTCTCCTCCCACCCGTCACCTGTCTCGTGCTCATGTCGCTCTTCTTCCCCTTCCCACCCATCCTCTCCATCTCTCCACCTAGTCTCTCCCTCCTCCCATTCATCACCTCGTTCCACCTCCTCGCTGACTCCTCCTCTCCACCCATCCTTTCCCTCCTCCCATGCACCACCTGTCCCATGCTCTTCTCGCTCTTCTTCCTCTTCCCACCCATCCTCTCCATCTCTCCACCCAGTCTCTCCCTCCTCCCATTCATCATCTCGTTCCACCTCCTCCTTCTCTACTTCTCTCCACCCATCCGCTCCCTCCCCCCACCCATTCTCCTCTGCCTCTTTCTCGCGCACAAACTCCTCCCTCAACTCCTGTTCTCGCTCCCACTCCCGCCGAGCCTCATCCTCCTCCTCCATTCGTCTCCACTCCGCCTCTTCCCATTCCTCCTCATCATCCCCTCCCCCCCTCTCTTCCTCTTCGTTTTCCAACCCCCACTCGTCCTGCTCTTCCCCCTCGCGTTGCTGCTCCTCCTCCTTCCCTTCCTCCGCTCCCCATTGCTCCTCTTCCGCATCCTCCTCCTTCTTCTCAACCCAACGGCCCATCCTTGAAGCTTCCTCACATCTCTCCTCTCCCTTGTCTTCCTGAATCACCTCCTCCTCTTCCACCTCCGCACACCTTCGTTCTTTCTCCTCTTCACTCTTTACACTCCCCTCCCCAACCCCTTCTTTCTCCTCCTCCCCAACCCTTTCTCCTTCTTCCTCCCCGCCCCATTCTCTCTCCTCCTCCCCAACCCTTTCTCCCACCTCTCCACCTTCTCCTCCTTCTGCCTCCCCACCCCCTTCCTCTTCCTCCTCCCCACCAGCTATACCAAACGAAGGCACGTCATATGCTTGTGTAGCAGATCCCCCCGACCCAGGTATACCTGCACGGGATGCGCCTCCCTCAGAACCAGCATCCCCTGCACCATCCATCCCCCATGTCCGCCCACCTGTTTGCGAACCAGAAGTTTCCCCACTGGTTGTGATGCTGCTGCTGCTGCGGTTGTTGCTGCTGCTGCTGCCACTGCACGTCACACGTGCGTTGATGCTCCCACATGGGCCTATCAAAATCCCCAGTCGCCCCATCTGCTCCTTCACTGCCCGCTGCATCGCCACTGCCCTTGCCACAGCAGCAGCACCAGCAGTGGCGACATTCCCAACGGCAGCATTCCCAAGGTCGTTCACGATGGCACTCTCAAGAGCAGCATGTTCAACGGCATGCAGGCAGGCGTGCAGGAAGGCAGAAGCGCGTTGGTGGAGGAGAGGCGAGGCGAGGATGTCGGGTGCTGTGGGTCGCTCAGAGGGGGTCTGCATGGGGAACAGTAGATACGCGTTGGGGGAGAGTGTGGGGGAGGGAGAAGAATGGGGGAAGGAATGCGGCAAGGCAGAGGCCTAATGATGAAGGAGAGGGGAGTGGAAGATGTGTGGGGCGGCCAGAGGGGGTCTTGAGAGAGAGTGTGGGGAGAAGAGACGTGATGTTTTGAGACGTCTCAAACACTTCTTCATACGCAGAGAGTGTGTGGGGAGAAGAGATGGGATGCGCGGACATAGGGCATGCAGCGAGAATGAGGCGTGGAAAGGTGTATTTTGAGATGAGATGGGATGAGGCGCCTCAAAATACACCTCACTGCACAGAGATGGGATGCGCGGAAACAGGGCACGCAGAGAGAATGAGGCGTGCAAAGGAACGGGGAAAGGACGATGCGTGGAAAGGGGTTGCTTAGGGATGGAATAGGGGTGGTTAGAGTCACTGTAATTTTCTTTCTGTCACCCATAATAGTTCTAAGCATACCGACATGCACCAAAACGTGCACATGCAGATGCCACATGCACGCATACATGCACATGCGGACGCATATGCACATGCAAATGAACACTCGAACACACATGCACATGCACATGCACACGCACACGCACACGCACACGCACGAACACATTCACGTTCACATGAACCTGCACCCAGAGATCCACGCGAACAGCACACATTCAAAGCAATTCATTAGTAGCATCCGACACAGTTGGACATACCTACCTGAAACTGTTGGATTCACCTGAGAGTGTTGAATTCACCTGAGAATGTTGAATTCACCTGAGAGAGCATGCGTCTGAGAAGCGCACAGAGGTCAAGCGAGTAACTGCCAGATGGTGGAAGAGGGCGAGGGGGAAGGGGGGAAGTGGGCGGGAGTGGGAGGGGGGGGAAGAGTGGGGGAGTGGGGGAGAGTGGTAGAGTGGGGGAGATTGGGGGAGTGGGGAAGAGTGGGGGAGTGGGGGAGAGTGGGGGAGTGGAATAGGCAAGCGAGCAGGGGAGTGGTAGTAGAGTGGGATAGGCAAGCGATGGGGAGAAGAGTGTGCAGCGCTAAAGGAAGTGGCAACGTGGGGGAGGGGGAGGGTGGGGGGGTGGTGGAGAAAGAGTGGGGATGGATTGAGGGAGCGGGCCCTGGAGAAGGTTTGGACAAGAGGGGAAGGGTTAGCATGTGAGTTTCGAGACGTCTCAAGACCTGATTGATTCAAGAGCGTTCAGGGACCGCTCTTGTTGGGGTGGTGAAGGGGTGGTGAAGGAACGGTAAAGTCAGCAAACTGGTCGGAGATGAAAAGTTTATATTTTCGAACCGGATCGCACAGGACAACACGGCACAGCACCGCACCGCACCGCACAGCACACAGTACATACCATCGGGGCATGGCGTCGTGGCAGCCCGACAACACGAAGGAAACGAGCTCGTGGATGGACGATGGCGGGGCTGATGGCTCGCTGACGGCCATGGCTGCATGCAGCACGCAGCCCAGCGCCCGAATGTCTGTGGAGGGGGGGGGGCGATGAAAGGGAGAGGCGGAAGAAAAGTCATAAAAGGGATGGATGGAGAGGGGGACCGCCTCGTGGATGGAAGTGAGCGGGGGAGACATGGGTCGCTGACGGCCATGGCTGCGTGGACCACGTAGCCCAGCGCCCGAATGTCTGTGCAGGGGGGGGGAGGATGGGCGGATGGAAGAGGAGGGGGGCGAACAGTCATGAAAGGGATGGAAGCAGAGGGGGGCGCATACGTGGCAGTCGGTGCCCACCCAGCTTGCAGGTGCAACGTGGGATCTGAAACCAAACGGGGTGCACACTCGGCTTGCTGCAGCACACGGCATTGGCAACTAGAGAGGCCCATCTGTGTGTGTACCATCATCATGTGCCAGCAGCAGCCTACACCCCATGCCATGTACCATCATGTGTTAGTCCTCTCAAGCCGTCTCAACAGTCGTTACAACTTGCGTGTCATCTCACCTGACTTGCAGTCGTACGGTTCCTGGCGTGTCATCTCAGCGGCCATGCACGTCCCCAGCCGCACACGCGCGGGGTTGCGGTCGCTTGGGCTGCAGAGAAGAACGTTCTCTGCCTGCTGCCACCAGGGGGGCGGTTTTGGGGGGGGGGGGGGGCGTGATTGTGCAGAGAAGAACGTTCTCTGCCTGCTGCCACCAGGGGGGGGAGTGGCGGGGTGGGGAAGGGACAGGAGGTGATCTTGATTGGAAACTAGGCTCATGTACTTTCTCTTGCACTCATCTGCTCTCATCTGCTCTCATCTGCTCTCACGTGCTCTCATCTGCTCTCACGTGCTCCCATGACGTGGTGCATGAACTCTAGTCCCAAGACTAAGGACAGTGCATCTGCTCGCTGTACGCGTTGTAGCCTTCTGCGATTTATCTCTACTTGAGAATACGCACCGTGACACCTCGGTGAAGCAAGTTGTGGTGGTGCATGTGCTCTAGCGCCAAGGCCACTTGTAGCAGCCAGTCAACAATAGTCTGCTCAGGAATGCTGGGATGGGCATGATCATGGAGAAGAAGGACGAGTGCCGTTTGATTACAAATGTTCACATTGTTCCGACGATAGTGCTTGGGCCGTGAGGGAGTTATGTGAAGGGGAGAGAGGATGATGGCAGTAGCATTGTTGTGAGGGCAGCGGCAAGAAAATAATAAAACACGGCAGGTTTGTTGTGAGGGCAGCGGGAAAGAAAATAAAAATCACGGCAGTATTGTTGTGAGGGCGGCACAAGCCCCTTCCACTCACAACGACTTGTTGTCCTCATGGCTTCTTATGAGCTCCGACAGCGTGCCTTCTCCACAGTACTCCGTCACTGTATCAAACGAAGCCATGCACGAATGGATCCGCTTAAATTCAGTACTCCGTTACTGGATCAAATGCTCCTCATAATGCGCAATATCTGGCGCATATCTCTGGAAATAAAGGCTTATCACGCGGCGAGGGGTGTGCAATAGGGCTGGTCTAAAACATAGCCATCATGCGAATGCACCCCACATTATCCAGTAACTCACCAATATAGAGGCTGTGCGAGTCCTCCGACGAGTCGTCGATGAATACCGCCTGCACAGTGCGTCCATTCGACACGGGAAAGACAGGATTAGATGCGTCTAGAAAAACGTCGATGATTAGCAAGCCGTGTTGCGATATAATATCGACGAAAAATATGAGAAAAAAAAGGGTGTACGAGGTATAAAGTGCATTGCTGCTTTCGTTCCCGGCCATGGAATCAATTCCTGTGAGATCATCCGAGGCACGTCATCATGCCGTAAGTGTGAGTCATGGCAATGATTCCCTTCCCCGCGCCCCCGCCTTCCCCTTCTGTTTAACCCAGCCCCCAGATGTGCCCACGGATGCCCCTCGTCTCATCCTGCAGTTTACCGCCCACGGGTGTATCGTCCCCCCCTCATAGAACCCTGGAGACTAGTTACGTCACCTCATCCGCGCCACCTCATCCGCGCACTCCCAACCGCGCTACCGCAACCCGCGCCCTCTGACCCGCACCACTTAGCCCCCGCTCTCTCACCCGCGCCTCCTCACCCGCGTCCTCTCACCTTGCATTCAGCCAGGCAAGGATGGCGCAGCTGCATCATCTTCTCCGCCTCCCTCACACACTCCGCACGTTGCGCCGCGTTTTCCGGTAGCGGAACGACTCGCATCACCCACGCCACACCTGAAACTATTCCTCCGCCAGATTCGGATGGTCCCTCCGCAGATAGCGCTGCGTCATGGCTGACGAAGGCCGCGGCTCCACCTGTTCTAAGCGAGCTATTGCTACAAGTTAAGTTGCTACCCGCAGCGCCCTTTTTGCGGACTAGGTAAGGCCCCCTTTGAGCGCCACGGCTCAACTCTTCCACGACCTCATAGCCGTTCATTATCGGCTGGCAGACGAGTGGAACCACAGCCGCTGCCTCTAACCCGACGCGACTCGCACGTCGACTCAACGGTCCCCCATCTCCATTCGCGTAACGAAGGCTCTGCTCCTCCGCGGCCTCGTCGTCGTCAGCGAGGCGACGGTTGACTACTGAACCCCCCACTGCCTCAAGCCCAAGAACTAGGCGTTCCGTTTTGTGCCGCGTGTCAGATATCGTATCAGGTATCGCTCTAACTACCGTCTAAAAATTAAGAGGAAACGTGTTTCGCGTTCTGGCTCGTCTGAGAAAACGAAGCAGGCTCCTGGTCCAGGTGTTTAGCTATCTCCTCTGAATCGAAACCATCCATCCGTAAAAGGATCGTATGATCCAACAACACCACATTCGCCTGGTTCCTAAAAGTCGGGCCTAGTATTACTAATGGATGCCAAACTCAACTGAGTACGGTCGCGAATCGGCAAGCTAACGAGGCCTAATCTGACAGCACTGGCAGTTCGAAGTAGCTAAGCGAGAAAAAGGCTGCAATCTGCTATTACAGTCAAGAACCAGAATTGGCTGTTTTCGCGCGAGGTCACGAGACTTGTTAGCTATTACTTCCTGACGTTTCGAGTCTGAAAAGGCTGTCGGCTACCTACTTTTCCGTGGCTTGGTATCTGACTTGGAGTCAGGCGACGGCGCCTAGAATGATACCCGTAGAAGCACTCGAAACATTGAGTCTCGCGATACTTGCGTGGCACGTTCTGCTTGCAACCAGCATCGCTGAGTGCACGTTCTCGAACGGGAAGGGAGGAACGTCCGAGAGTCAAGTCACAGCTGAGAGGTATGTAGTCACTGACATGCTTTGCGCCAATATGAAATATTGATGGCGTAATTTCTCGTTGCACGAAAATGACGGGGGAAAGCAACATATGATCAGGAAAGCCCATGCAAATGGACATTGAATGGGCGATGCATCTAGCGAACCCTGCATTACCAAAGGAGTCGAGTTACCAAATTCGTAAGTGCCGATTGCGAAATACTGGCCCAATGAGCAGCATGACGGCAAGGACAATTGGACAGGCTGGGGAATTGCGAATTGTGATTGGACAATCAGCCCCACGCTTGCGCCAAGAAATAACCCGCGGTTCGAGTATGTTTCCAGCCCTTGGCTTTCGTGCCTCCCCTAGCAAGCAGACAGACCAATAGGTTCACAGCAAAAAACAGCGATTCGAAATGCCTCACGGACTTTCGGTGCAATTGGGTGCTTGGCAAATGTCCTCTTCATAGAGTGGTCTGATACCAGTTACGGCTGTGGATGCATGCATGCTGGTAGTGCATTCATTCAACCAGGAAATTAACAAAAGAAAGAGTGGTCTCGTACTGTACATGCACGATACCGGTACTATCCTGTCGTTCTAGTAAAGAAACCAGACGAGTTTCACCGCTGGGTGTAGCATATTTGCAACATGCGCATGTTGCAAATTGCATTTCTATAGCCTACACACCAGGGCCTATGATTCACTTTTAGGCACGTAAATGCATCAGGGTCCCTCTGTGTAGAATCCCTGATCGTCAGTGTCCCAAAAAAAAAAAAAAAAAAATCAGTGTTACCTTAAAAAAACGCCTGATGCATCAGTGTTCCCATTAAGAAAGCTTGCTTTCTGGTTCTTGCAAGGCAACGTGCTTCATTTAAATTGGGTAATTACAACATCCTCGTCCAACTGAAAAAAATACATAATTATCAACTAGGGGTGGGTGGGGGGGAAGCGGAACTGTAAAGTTCCGAAAATGAAGACGTGGGTGGAGGCCAAATGGCCTCCAGCCCTCATTATGTACTCGGGAATAGGCATTCGCAGTTGCCTTGCTTCGATACAGTCAGCTGCGCTTTCATAATACATATTTTTAGAAAGTGTTACACACTTTAAAAAAAAATCATATTAAGAAAGCTTGCTTTCTGGTTCTTGCAAGGCAACGTGCTTCATTTAAATTGGGTCTTCTGAGACATGTGCGTATGTTGACGAAGTGCAGATTGCAGGGCCGGTTGAGGGCGGTGTCAAGTAATAGCGATTCTTGGTGTTAGTCGTTGTGCTCCATGTCGAGGTGGTTATGCAGGTTGCTGCCTACTTAGGTAGATGACTGTGCCGATGGTTGTTGTTGGAGTGGAAGACGGTTCAAAATAAATGTTGCGCTGGCATGTGAGGCAGAGAAGATAGTTGTTAAAGACGATCCATGTGCTAGTTCGGAAGCTGACGGTGTTGCGCAAAGACTGATGCCGTGATTTCCGTGCTTCGTAGTGAATGGTGGGGTGTAGGGCCACCTACGAATGACGTGTTAGCAAGAGTGCATGCTCCTCCATATGTGACATGCATAGGGCAAGCTTGAGTTTGAAAGTGGAGAGTCCAAGATCAAGGACTTTATTGGAGGAACGGATGTCATTTGGCTGCGTTAATGCTGGTGGGCTTGCCAAAGAATATTAAGCGATTTTCTAAAAGGTGCGTCATGACTTTTTATGACTGAGGGCGTGTAAGCTGCAGACGAACATTGGATAAACGGGACGTTGTCGTAATGAGTGACCGCAAGTGCACCAAGTTTGAAGTTTCAAAGACCGGGACGGTATTGAATGATGATGGCCGCATTCGCAAGATTCGAAGATCCAATGGGGGTGCCAGTATTGGTTCGTAAAGAAATAATATCGCACAACAGTACGTATATGTGGAAGAGCATGATGAGGTGCCTCGAAGCACGGATTA